CCTACAGCGCCCGAGGTCCCACGATCGCGTTCCTTGCGTGCCAAGAACTTGGCACGAAGATCCTTGAGACTATCAGGTACACGAATCGTCGTGTACCCGTTTAGGTCGCGGTTGCTCAAGCGCACCGCACCCGGAAGACACAACGTGCACTGTTGGCCTTCGGGCACAGCGCATGGAATACCAGCGTCCACAGAGGATCTGTGGAGCTGCTCCAGCCGCCCGCGCGTTGAGAATGTCTCGAAGCGCTCACGGGCATGCTTAACCCGCTCGCGGTAAGCAGCCGGTTTCTAGTTGAAGTTCTCAACAAAAGCATTCCAACTTTGACAAAGTGCCTGCCACTCATGCACATTGCTGCGAGAAGAGGTCTTCTTGCTGGAGAAGTACCGGAGCTCGTGGAGGAGCCCGATGTAGTAGTCGCGCCTTTGATTCGTTAACGGATCAAAGTGCTGCTCCTCCGCAACAGCATCGTCGTGGATACCGCTGCATACGTACAGCGGGATTTCGTTTGGAGGCACAGTGTTGCCCACACGGCCTGCGATCTCTGACGCCGACGGCATCCACGGATCGCGCGCTGCCTGAGCAGCGCGCGGAGAGCTTGAAGGCGCCACCTCACGCGGGGAGCTTAAAGCCTCAGCAGCAGAGAGCGGAGTGTCGCTCTCGCCGCGCGAACGCTTCGAGCTCGAAGCGTCCGAGTCGTCTCCTTCACGAGGGCGTCTCGACCCGGCATGCAGGTCGAGACTATCGCTGTCGATAGACTCCTTGCGCTTGCTAGAAGAGGCCTCGCCCTCTTCCACCTCCACGTCGTCGTCTTCATAGTCAACGGCGCCGTTGATTACAGAAAAACCTTCGAGGACAATCTCTGGTTGAGTTGTCCCCGCCACAGCCTTGGCAGCAAGAGCGTCACGCTTTGCTTTGAGACGCTCGCGGTACTCGGGGATAGAGAGAGTCTCTATCCCGGCGGAGGACTTCCCCACTGCTGCAGCGTCGGTCTTCTTCGGCGAGCTCATTGCCGAATAAGCTCGAGTTTTCTTTCTCCCAACGTGAAGAATTGACGAATGGTCAATTTCCTGATTGACGTGCCGTGGCTCGGCGCGTCTAACATTGAGGGGAGGATGGTGTAACAGGGTTACACGCACAAGTGGCTACAGGCACTTGTAACTCTAACAGATACGACGTCTGTTAGAGGTTTGAAAGACTTTCTCGACCTTGGTGTAGATACACCAAAGGCTACATACATTTACGATCACCACGACGGGTGGTCCATAGAGACTTAGGATTCCTATTGGTTGAGAGCAGCATCTCTTAGCCAATGAGCGACAAGCATAGCATTGGAATTCTGCCAACCAGCCGTTGGCAGGTTCCTATCTTAGAATATTACATTTAGAGGAAGTCAGAAACATAAAACAAAAATAGCAGTTCTCATTTTAACCCAAAAACATTATTTGGATCGTTTATTTAGATTAATCTATACTCGGAGGCCCGAGTATAAATAACAAATTTAAACTAGGCTACGCTTCCTCACATACACGCTCACACGTGTAAGCTAAAGTAGTGGGCCAAAGTAGGCCCATTACAATGACCAACATGACTTGTCTAGGTGCAGGCTGCATTTTTTTTACATGCTAATTTGCTCAATACCCAATCACTCTTAGCCGAAGATGTCCAACCTCGTGTCTGTCGCCAAACCAATCAGCTCAACTCGACAGTGACACGAGCATCGTTCGTCTGAATAAGCCTTTTTTCCCTGCGTTGAAGCACCCACTTCCAAGGAATTGGCCCATTAGCGTATTTCTCATTCCGCAATTTACCCCCCCCCAAGCCCTCAAGTTAAAAGTTTGTTTGTTTGTTTTGTTTTGAATTAAGGATTATTATTGCCACTTAGCTAACATCCTCAAGTTAAAAGGTCAAGATCAGCGCACCGTGCGTCTCTCCTTCGTTCCGCTACTGTAGCTCTCTCGTCTGATCGTTAGCACACAACATAGTACAAAAATGAGCACAGTATACCTTACCTGCAAAATGAATGAAATAGCTCTCTCGTTGCTGGCGCCAACGCAGCCATTGGACGCTGACCAGGGGTGTTATGTCACCGATGGCCTCATCAGACCAGGCAACCTCAATTGGTGACTTTCGGTTCCTGAGAACCCACCACGATAAAGAAGAGCGGGGCTTGCTGGTTACCAGCCTCTCAAAGGTTTGGCTGAAACATCATTTCCGTATCGATACACTTCGATGTGCGCAACTATTTGTTCAATTACGCATTCTCGGGCAGTAGATGCCCACGTTAGAATCAACTAGAGAGTTGTACTGGTAGTGCTTTTAAAGATTAAAAACAAAACAACTTTGGGATTTACTCAATTATTATCCGTTATCATTGTCCATGAAACTATTGGTCGACCTATGTACCACTAGACTTGATTGAAATTGTGACTGGGTTTGGCGGTCCTTTCCCATACAAACATCAAGTATAAAGGATTTGTACTGACCCGGAAAAAAAATCGATCGAGTTTTCTGGTACATGTTGCTGAACTGAGCAAGCCCAGCATCGCTACCCTGTTGAATAGACGCCAATGAAGACACTAGTCAGCTGACAATCTCAACTTACAAGTATAGACCTCTCCACACTGTCAAACACCACTCTTCTATACAAATTCTAGATAGTACGTGTCTCCATTGAATCTTATCAACCTCGTCAGCTTAACCTTATTTGAGCAGCTTACTAGGCGTTATTCGAGCTGCTTAATCGAGTTAGTTCATTTATTACGCTTGAAACAGCTCTCCACGAGTTTGTTACCAATCTTACCGATAGGTTTCCGGGTGCGGCTATAATTTTGACCCGACCCAAAGTCTGTTTTTCGTCCATTGCAAAAAAACGGTTACAGCTTTTTCGATTCTGATTGTTGCATCTGTTTTCTATCGACTCTAGACGAATCATAAGCAGCGGTTTGGCACAATCATTGGTTTAAAAAATAATTTTTGGGGTGCGGTTCGCGCACTGTATGACATACAGTAATGTGTCTGCTCAAAGAACGCCTAATATATATGAAGAGAAAGAGTATATTTTGAATGAAAGGTTTGTGTTGTCACATGCGTATATACTGATTTAAAGACAAATGTATGCCCATCTCTACTTTTGTGAGCTCTGATTGCCTGTATTCTAACAACGATGTGCTGATTTGCTGATAGAGTCACTAAATCAGTATCCCGGCCTGATATCTGTGCGGATAGTGGGAATATTCTTTCTTGCATCATATAGGATTTCACCCGTTCTTTAAAGAGACACATTACTGTACAGTGTATGTTTGAACGGACTACCTACACTGTTATTGTGCCTTTCGGTCATTTTGCCGAGTCCTACGTAGGACTTTGGAGGTCAGTTAATCTGAGGTTGGTGGTCTCTAAATCTGAGATGCAAATCTCGGATGAGTCCGATGACTGGTCTCCTGGAGTCTCTCAGTCAAGTAATCTTTGTTTGGGGAAGCAAGCAATGCCGGAACCCGCGAAGGCGAATGGCGACGACTGGAGTGTTTAACGTATCGACTGCATCGTGTTTTCATAGGTTTATTCTGCGTTTGACATACACCGTATTAGAGTCAGCTCGTATGAAAGTCCTGCCACAAGACTAGGTAGGAGTCCTTCGTAAGACCTCAAACCCCGAATGCCGTGAAAATAGGCGACATTCGGGCTTTCGGCTGTTTGTAGGACCTGCGCAAGTGCTTCCATCGGACTAGCAATTCTTTGTCCTAACTACCTACGAGTAGGTAGCTGTTTTACACGTCCGATTTGCCAAAACAACCGAAAAGCACAATAACTCTTTTGCTCTTACACGCTGCTTTTTTGATTGCCTGTGATTGGTTGAAAAAAATAGGTTCGGCCCTCGGAGAACCGCTCGTGAATACCCAAAAGGGTGGAGAAGGAGGCATAGACACTTTACTCTCTTTAGCGACGTTTCCAGGCTCACGTCTGTACACGCGCGCTAATACCTACGCAAGGCCTACATGACTCCCGCACTTGCGGGGCATTACTATAATAATAGCGCTACTGTGCAGTGCAGCTGGCTGCACACTTTGAGTGTCCCGACCTTTCGGTGGATGGGGGGCGCCTCTTTCTACGAATCTTAAGGCCGCTCCACTCCAGTAGTGCCAATGTCTGCATTCGTGGCCAGCTGCTATGGCTTGTCGGTCCTCGTGCTGCTGGTGGCGGTAGCCATCGTCGCAGCGGCGGACCTGACCCCAGAGGAGGTGCAGGCGTGGATGGCCACGAACGAGGACTTCGACTGGCAGCAGCCGGAAGCGGCGGCCGTCGTGCGCATCGACAGCAGAGGCACGCAGGACGCAGACGGGAACCTCTACTTCGCGGGCTCCAAGACGCTCGACAGTAGCGACGTCGGCCAGCTCGACATCTTCGTGGCTCAAGTCAAGGCGGACGGCTCGCTCGGCTGGACCAGACAAGTACGTGCGTGGGTCGCCCTGCCGACTCGAGAGCTCTTGGGACGCACTCTAACCCGGTGTATCGGATACTACCACTGATGTAATTGACAGTGGGGAACGGACGAGGCCGACGCAGCAACTTTCGTCGCCGTGATCGACGAGACCGACGCGGCCGCCGGCACGACGACCCAGTATCTGTACGTGGCCGGCTACACGTGGGGGTACCTGGACGAAGGCGGCCACGCGCTCAACGGCTTCGGCCAGTACGGCGGCCGAGACGTGGTGCTGGCCAAGATATCGCTCAGCGGCGACAAGCTCTGGATGCGACAGGTATGAACGCGGGGCAGTGCTCCCAGTCGGTGGGTGATGACGACCAGCGTCTGCTCATGCGTCTTTGCGTTGTGTTTTTGCTGTCAGTTTGGGACGACGGCCAATGACTTTGCGTACGGCGTGGCGCTGGACGGCAGCTTCAACACGCTGCTGCTCTCGGGCGGGTGCGTGACCCACCAAGTGGACGAGACCGTGGAGGTGGACGTAGCGCAGATGCTCGAGACCAGGACGCACGCGGGCACAATGTCGGACTACGAGGCGCAGATCATGGACCCGAACGCTCGCGCCAGCGTGGAGAACCGACAGTACGACTTCGCCGTGAGTCTCAACTTTGGAGGAGATATACTAGACTATGCGATGAACGGAGGGGTGACGCTCACGCCGAGGCGACGGCGTATCAGAGAAGGAGGACTGGTCGCGGAGTACGCCGTGGTGCTGAATCGCCAGCCACTCGCGGACGTCGTCGTTCAGGCGGAAGACGTGCGGCTCGCAGACCCGAGAGGAGAATTCGTTCAGCAGCTCCAGTTTTTGACGCCGCAGCGTGTGGTGTTCACGCCTGCGAACTGGAATCGGGAACAGTACGTGCGTCTTGCCGCGGTGGACGACGATCTAGCCGAAGGTAGGCACTACGCCGTCGTGACCCACTCCGTGGCTAGCGCCGACCCGAATTTTGACGGAGATGACACTCCTTTTCTTACGGGGCGCAATGTAACGGTGCAGATCGACGACAACGACCTCGCTGGAGTTTCGCTCTCGAGACAGCATGTTTTCGTTGCTGAGGGCGGGGGCAAGGACAGCTACGATGTGATACTGACGTCTAGGCCGTGGCATCCAGTTAAGGTCGTGATCGTCCCCTTGCATGGCACGCAGACGGCCGTCGCCCCAGTATTATCGGGCACAGCCGCAGAAGATGGCTCCGCCGTGCTCATTTTTCCGCCTGAAGACTGGGATAAACCGCAGCGCGTGGTGGTGAGTGCCGTGGATGATTCCGATTCGGAGGTGGAGTTCGGCGGACTTTACAACGGAGGCCCTCTGCTTCATTACACTGAGAGCAAGGACATCCGGTACCATTCGCGTCGACCACAGTGCTTTGATGTGCCGAACTGTGATCCGTTGGATTCGTCTCTGTGTATATTGTCCGAGGAAGAACTACAAGATGGCCAGACTTCCGTTCGAGTGTGTGATATTACGAACGAGTGCGCGTTCGCACAAGGAAATGGCGCGTGTATTGCGAACGTCGTGAGCGGGGTCGGAGCTGTACCAGTACGCTTCGGAAATCCACCGCTAGACCCTGGGAGTACCGATGATACTATGGCAGACATGAGCTACGCGACTCTTATCGACATGCTGACGTCGGAATCAAACGATACCGATCTTATGGCGTTATCTGATGCTGCGGTGGACAGAGACTTGTCAAAATTGCACTTCGTGCCGCCCCCACCTGAGCTACGCAGCTTTGTGCTGAGTTTCCTCGGTCTGATGAATGTGGAGCAAGGTCGTAAAATGAGCGCGAATCCGAAGAACGTGGTGCACACGATCTGTGCGGGGTTGGTTCGACTCGAGACTATGCGCTGGGCGTTCGAGGAGTGGCCGAAAGGCTACGTGGTTCGCGTTCTCAACGCCGTATTCGCAATGTTTCCACAGAACTATGCGTTGGAGAGGCATTCTTGGAACTGTGGCATGGCGAGCTTCCTCCCCAGTAACAGCATCGAAGTGAGCGTCTGGGACAACGATCCCGGCGTCACGCTGTCGACCTCTTCACTGGACGTTACGGAGGGCGACAGTGGCGGCTCTTTCTACGACGTGGTTCTGAATGCGCCGCCAGCGATCGGAGGTCACGCGCAGATCGTCGCAAGTGCCGACAAAACGCAGATCTCGTCCGTGTATTGCTCCGTCAAGGAGTCGGATGAGTGTGGATTCTGGGGCAAGAACTTTGCAGCGCTCGCTCCTACCGTCTACGATCAATCTGCATGGAGCTCACACAGCATCCCCGCTCCGAACGTGAGCATTGCGATCGTGGGGAACTCGCAGGTGGCGATAACACCGTCGATCTTAACGTTCACGGCGACAAACTGGCTTCAACCTCAGCGCGTCGTGGTTCGTGCAGTCGACGATGCAATCGCAGAGCTCAACGCGAGCTACACGATCTCACATCGCGTGCAGAACTCCCCCTACGGATACACGAACGCCACAGCATTTTGGTTTCAAGGCACGATCGCACCCGCTCGTCTAGAGCTGTACCCGTCGTGGAATGCTGTAAGTGGGGGTGCAATTCCTTACAATGCGGTGCCAACCGTCATCCACTCGCCAGATCACACCCGTGTCAACGTTCTCGTGCGAGATAATGACGTGGCAAAGGTGAACGTGGTGGTCAACCAGCCCCAGGCAAAGCTTGCGACGAAAGAGGCGCGTGACGCAACGGACTGGGTGGGGGACTACATCACAGCGCTGGGATTTCACGACTTGTCGGTGTCAAGTACCGCTACAAGCAGCAAAACCATCGATTCAGCGCTCCAGAATATCCTCGTGTTCGCCTCCGGTGTCAAGACGTTCATGAAGTTCCACCTGCCGCACTTGCATGATGGAGACACGTGGCTCGCGTTCTCAGGGGCGACGCTGGTGCTCCACCAAACTCCGTACGAAGTCTTTGACGTCTCGGAGCTGGACGGCGGGAGCAGCTCCAGCGATTCCTCAGGTGAAGTCAGCTTTACGAGGGAGTATGAGTTAAAGGTGACGGTGGTGGACAACGCGTGGACGACGGACAGCATTCGCAAGGCGACAGCAGCGCCCAAACCTTTGAGCTTCCTGTCGGATGGCGCGTCGATGCAGGTCACAGCAACCGTGGAGAAAAGCCGCTCCATTGAGGTGGACATCTCGTCGCTACTGGCTCAAGTTCTACCCACCCGACTCTCCGTTGTATCCCTCCAAATCGAAGTACTGTCGGAAGGAGGCAGCACCGAGTCGATCGCCACGACGCAGTTGTGTTCGTCGGTCTTCGAGCGGAAGCTGCGTCCTCTTCTGGCGCTATCGTACCAGTTCCCGAACATTCTGAGCGGTCTACAAGCAAATCAGAGCTCGACGGCTGTATCGCTGGAGACCAAGAAGCCCCTGGAGGCCTCGTTAGCTACCAACGGGGCGAAGTACGATGACTCGGTCGACAGCGTCGTCGATGTGGCTACAACTACCAGCGAAAGTGAGCCGTGGTGGGAGGTGACGCTGCCTCAACTGACGAGGCTGGGCACATTGGCAGTATTTCTACCGGCATCTATCGTTGAAGAGAATACAGGCTCCGATGTTCTCAACATCGTCCTGATTGCGTCGCTGAAGGCGTTTGATTCCAAGGATATGTCGCTGGAAGACGCGCTTACGTACGGATGTTCAAGTGCGTGTCCTCGTGTGCAGCGCCTACCCGTTCAGAAGGGGATTCTACTATGGGACGTCCAGGCCGGTGCAGTCGCTGTGCGAATCTATCGCGAGGGAACAGGAGTGCTGCAGCTTTCTCAAGTGAAAGCCTTTGAGCCCTTCATCTCGGTGACTCCAACGGCGAATGGAGCTGGTATCCGCTCCCGACTGAAGTCGGACTGGGGCACAAACACTGCACAGTTGCAATCGTGGCGTCTTCTACAGACAGTGAGAAGATCTGAGAACGAGAACCTGGCCGTGGGGGTGGCTACTAGACAGAGCAGCACGAGCCCAAGCGATGCGTTGTCGTACCTGGCTGTGGATGGCCTGAAACACACCGACTGGGACCCTCTTATTATCCAAGACGAAGGAAACAATGGCACGATGGCAGCAGGGAGCACGCGAACGGATGTGGGCACCAATCCATGGTGGGAAGTGGACCTCGGTAGCGTGAAGCCGATTCGCTCTATCGTGCTGTATCCGTACGTGGGGAGCCACTACGACGAGCTCTGCGCGCCTATAACAACATCTACTGGCAGCAATGGTTACCCAGCATGGAGTGGCGACCTGTACGACTACAGTCATACGGACTCGTTACTGCAACTCAAGGCTCCGTTTGTTCAGCAGTTCGACGTATTGCTGTCGGCCCAGCCACTGACGAACAGCGATGGCACTGCTTCTGGGGCCTCTGCTACCGCCACCAAGACGCTGTCGTTTTCGTGTGCCAACTACACCAACTCCATTACGTGGGATAGTGTCTTCTCCACCGCGAGGTTTGTGACTGTACGGAAGCAAGGCACAGGCGTCTTGATGCTGAACGAGGTGGAGGTGGAACGCTGGAATCCAGCCACAGTATCGCGTTACTTGTTGCTGGACTTGTTTGGATCAGGGGCAAAGCCGCTCGCAGTCACCAGCGTGCAAGTCTTCCCACCCAGCGACGTAGCCCCCACAGACTCAACCATACTATCCGTTGCATCTCCGATACCGTACACGATCCACAGCGTAAGCTCCCAGTTAGCGACGTCGGGTGCAGGATCCGCAAGCGCGCTGCTGAACGCGAAGGACAAGACGCTGTGCTATGTGGCAGGCGCGACGTCCTACCACGAGTGGGTGGTGCTCGATTTCGGCTCGCCGGTGGAGGTCGGGCTGGTTGACGTCAATACCGACGTGAGTCAGTGTTCGTCGGCGAACGTGGAGACTGTCGCTGAGTTCTCCGTTGCGTCTCATGGGTCGGCGCTTGATGGAATCCGCAGTGACGCCGCATCAGCGGCTCTTAGTTCCGAGGGATTGTCGACTACATGCGCGCTGGATGCCACGGGGGCGGTTGTCACTCCATCCTCGCAGTGCACAAACTACGTTTGTGGAGGAACGGCGTGTCAGGCGCCTCTGAGCGTGAAGAACTCGGCTGGGAGTAGTTTGATCCTCAGCGACTTCGTTGACATTGCGGTTCTGGGCAAGGCGGGGCTGCTGCCAGTTGATCGACTCCCGTTGTCGGTGAACGAGCACCGCACCTTGTTACTGCGTGACAACCCAGTGGTTATCTGGCCGTTCGACGACGCAGCCAAGGTGCTGGTTAGCACTGACGAGAGCGAGACGGCGTGGGAAGGGAAGAGTCGAGCCACGGGCGCGTTGATGCTACCGACGACTTCGACTGCGGTGGATTTGAAGATCGACGATACGTTGGAAGCGACGTTCTTCTCGGCCGCAGTCGCAGTGCAGCCGGCTATGAGCTCGTTCTCGCTGGAGTTCTGGTTCGACATCAGCGCGGAGTTCATCGCTGCTGCAGCAGATTTTCTGCCGGCTGAGGCCGTGACAATGTACGGCAACGATGCAAGCGGCGGCCAAGTGACCTTCGGAACCGTCGGAGTTAGCAGCAAGACTGCGCGGTTCTACTTCGAGATGACAAACGCAGCGGATGGGACAGTGTGTCGAACAGATCTCGGTGAAGACGCCGCCTTGCTGCCAGTTGCGGAGAAGTGGCACCAAGCTGTAGCGACCTACGATCCTACCTCGTCCAGTATCTCCCTCTCCGTATGCGTCGCGGGGGAGCTGCAGACTACCAACTGCTACACGAGCACCGCGACGTGTAACATGGCGCTGCTCAGTCTCACGCAGAAGATTCTGCGCTTCGGAGCCCCCGAGCCAGACGCTGACGGCGGTGGGTTTATTGGGAAACTCACCAACGTGGCGTGGTTTGCTCGAGCGTTGACTGTCACCGAGATCATGGACCATTACCACGATTTTCTCGACGGCGTGGCTACTGACGCGACGGCAGCACACAACACGTACTCAATCGGGCTATCGTCCAAGCCGCTGAGGCCAGTGACCGTGAAGATCAACGCGGAGAGCGCGTGCTATCGCTTCAACCTGTGCAACGTGTCGACTATCCCGACTGTGCTGAAGTTCACAACGGAGAGCTGGAACCTGCCGCAGCTTGTGCACGTGCTCGCCACAGACGACCAGCTCTACGAGGGTTTGCATACTACGGACGTGTTCCACGTAGCCTCAAGCCCAGCGTTGTATCAACTCACGTCGACCGCTAGCACGGCCAGTGTGAATAACGCCACAGGGGGTCAGCAACTACTGCAAGAGCTCAACGAGTCGGTGACGGTGTTCTACCGCGATTTAGTGCTCTACGGGGTCTTGCAGAGCAGCGACAAGCGACTGACGCGACGGAATGCGCTGGTAGACTTGCAGGCGCAGTGGGCCCAGCAGCCAGTCAAGGAGGTCGTCGTCGCTGCCAACGTGTACGCCGAGCCCACCCCAGTCACGCCTGTGCTGGTGACAATAACGGATCTGGCCGTGCCAGGCATTGAGTTCTCCACTGCGTCGCTCAGCGTATCCGAAGACGGCAAAGGCAACGACTACCAGGTGGTGCTGCTCTCCGAGCCCACCGAAGAGGTGCGCGTGAGCCTCCACATCGCCTCTGGCTGCTATCGACGCTGCATTTCAAGCCCCTTGTGTCCCTCGCACTCAGTTGAGCTGGCGGACGGGACGTTCGCTGCAGCAGGAGACGACTCGTTCTTGAGCTGTGGCGATGACACGGAAAGTATGAGCACGAGCGCGCTATTGTGTAATGTCACGGTCTCCCCGGACATCCTCATCTTCTCGCCGGAAGACTGGAGCTTGCCCAAGACGGTGCGCGTCCTCGCAGTTGACGACCATCTCGACGAAGAAGACACGCACTTGACCATTATCCGCTCGACGTCGGCGAGCCTCGATTCTGTTTACAACCAGCTCGTGCTCCCGGATATTGTCGTCGCGATCGCGGATAACGACAACACGGACATGGAGTACTCGACGAAAGTTGTGGCTCTCTTCGAGAAAAGCCTAGATCTATCCACTCTCAAGTACCCGCACGCGGACCACTACACGCTCAAGTTGCTGACAGAGCCGTACGCCAATGTCACCATCGCAATGAGCAACGAGGCCAACGCCGTGTGCTATCGGCGCTGCGGCTACCCCTTTGACGAGACTTCGTGCGGACTTCCACGTCAGCAGAGCGTGAGTTTGGTGCACCTGCGCTCCAACTCGACGCGGGAGATCCACCAGATATCGCTGCGCATGACGAAGATCACGGAAATGCAGCGCATCGTGACGTACGCGAGTCACGTGGATCAAATCGTCCAGCTGCAAGTTACTGGTGGATTCGGCTTGGAGGTTCAGGCGATCGTCTTCCAGTTCAACGACGTCTTCAAGACGCGATATAAATCCGGCGACGCCATCGCAGCCGCTACGAGCTACGGCAGCACGTTCTCGATCTCAACTGGCGCGGGTGCCAGCTCCACAGCCCTCGACATGTTTGCGACGGCTCTGCAAGTGCAAACCGCAGTGAACGGTCTGTTTCCCGGAACCACCAACGCTGTCAGTGTCACGCGGGACGTGCAGTACACTGCATCGACACTGACGTGGAGTATCACGTTCCTGCGGTTCGTGAGTGCGGATGGCGCGTTACCACTGTTGTCTGTAGCAGCGAACGGGGCGATTGAAGGCACAATTTCAAGTCAACGGTCGAGAGCAAGCAGTTCTCCTACTGGGGCACTTAAGCTCAGCTACGGTGCAGCGACGTTCACAGTATCGATGCCACCTACTGCAGCTGCGCTTCAGACTGCTCTGGGTTCACAGGCTGGGATCTACTCCGTATCGGCTTCTCGGCGGCTTCTCAGCGGTGGGGGCTACGGATTCCAGTACAGCGTCACGTTCGTGAGCGTGGACACCTTCGCCAGTTTGGTCGTGAATTCCACAGCCAGCGTTGTTGCTTCCCCCGACGCCATCACCCCGTTGTCCGTATCGGTGGTAGAAACTCAGTCACCAGTGCTGATCGGTGGAGCGTTTGTGATCGACTACTTCACGCCGCTCAACATCACCACGACCGCCAAGCCGAACCGCACGGTGCCGATCTTTTGGAACGACACGGCCGACACAGTCGCTACCAAGCTGGGGCAGCTCCAAGGCCTAGCGAACGTCACTGTGTCTCGACAGAAACTCACTGCGGAAGGAGGGATGGCGTGGACTGTCCAGTTCCTGCAGAACTACGGGAACCTCCCCAGTATGATCGTAACTCCATTAAACCTGACGGGCAAGGGGGTCACGGTTGGAGTGAACACCGTGCGGGACGGAGAGCCCTTAAGAGGGACCTTCTCAGTGCAAATGGGCGGTTGGTTCAAGAAGACCGACCCGCGCACAAGCCGCGCGTACATAATGAACCTCCCGCTGAAGAATACAACGGCGTTGCCCTTCAACGCGACGTCCTGGAGGCTCCGCAAGGCGCTCTTTGCTTTGGACATCACGGAAATGACAAATGTGACGCGCGCGGGCGTGGACTGTGACGTCTTTAACGTCTGCAACGGGTACACGTGGACTATCAGCTACCTCAACAGTCCAGGAAACCTGCCGCCTATCGCGGTGTTCGCGGACGATCTGATGCGCCAAGCTCCAGGGATGACTCTCACCTCCACGACTGTCGCCAACGGGACGTACTTGAGAGGAAGCTTTTCGTTGCGGCTTGAGCTGCTGGATCCGATCACGAATCGGACGTACGTCGGCACGACGTGGAAGTTACCCGTCAATGTGAGCGCGATAGGCATGGACGAAGCGTTGGAGGCGCTGCCCTTTGTCCGCTCGAACCGTGAGGCCGAATACGACCCGGAAACCAAGGTCTGGCGCGGTATCAAGTTCGATAAGGGCGTGCGCGTGTACCGAGAGGGGCCGTATCTCGATGGAGGCCACACGTGGCGGCTGGAATGGGCGCTGGAGGACTACATGCGCTTCGCGGACCTGAAAATCACCACGGATGTGTCGCTGGTGACGCAGGAGATTGAGCCGCTGCCAGTGCCGTCCGAGCTGGATCTTCAGGGCAAACCGAGATGCTCGGCGATCCCCACAGCGATTTTCCAGGCAGATCCGACCGATCCGTTGGGCCTTCGAGGGTTTTGCGTCTACGCCATCGCCAACGAGACAGTGCAAGAGCGATTCCTCTGCAACTACACGGTGCTGAACCCGTGGATCGTGTTCACGCCTGAGAACTGGTGCGTTCCCCAGCAAGTCAAGCTCGAAGCTGTTGACGACTTCCTCGACGAATACACGACTGAGAACGGCACCGAGACGTTCTCAAAGGTGACGCACACCGTGTTCAGCGACGACTACATCTACTTGGCGCTCCCGCTGCCAGACGTGACCGTCAGAGTCGAGAGCGACGACGTCGCCAAGGTGCTCGTGTCCGAGTCGGCGCTGGAGGTGAGCGAGGACGGCGTGCTCGTGGCTCAGTACTTTTTGCAGCTGAACTCGGAGCCGCTGGCCGACGTGAAGATCGTGGTTCTACCCTGGCTTGACAGCGACAGCACGCAGTGCTACCGCTTCGGACTGTGCAACCTCACGCTCCCAGTGAGCGAGTACGTCTTCACGCCGCAGAACTGGGACGTACCGCAGAAGGTCGCAGTGCTTGCTACCGATGACAACCTGGACGAGTACGATACGCACATGACGGGCATTTCGCACGTTTCCTACAGCGCCGACCCCAAATACAACGCGATCCCGACGATCCCCAAGATCAGCGTGACAGTGCACGACAACGACGCATCGGGCTTTATCGTCAGCAAGTCAAGTGTCTTCGTGACCGAGGGGCTCCTCGGAGCCGTCGATTCATACACCGTCGTGCTAGCTTCAGAGCCGTTCGCGAAGGTGACCGTGGCCGTCACCAACTTGGGGACAGTGGGGAATCTCGCCGTGCCAAGCCCCACGAAGCTCGTGTTCACGTGGCGCAACTGGAATATAACGCAGACGGTGAATGTGACAGCGTTCGATGACCACACACAGGACGTCGTGGGCTCTTCGAGCACGCTCAATCACTCGCTTACGACGAACGATGTGATCTACGCTGGACTGAAGAACCTGGCGGGCGTCAAGGTATCCATCACCGACAACGACGTGTCCGGGATCGAGCTGTCCACGCGGGAGCTGCGCGCGCCCGAGAGCAACACGAGCGTGCTGTCATACAACGTCCGTCTCACGTCGGAGCCGTGGTCGCCGGTGGTTGTACGCCCCAACGCCAGTCACGACTGCTACCTGCGCATCCAAAGCGGAGAGCACGCCTGCAACGCGAGTATTCTGAGCGGCTGTACCTCGCTCTACTTCAGCGCTACGAACTGGAGCGTGTGGCAACCTGTGTCTCTCATTGCCGTGGACGACTGGCTAGACGAGGCAAACGTCCACACAGCTCGGATCTCCCATGCGTCACTCAGTTCGGACCCTTTATACGCAGTCAGTGACTACGCGGCAAGTGGCGGAGATCTCAAGCTCTACATCACCGACAACGACGTCTCGTTCGTCAACATCTCCATCCAGAGCGCGACTAAGCAACTCCACGTGGCTGAGGGCAGCTTCAACGACTCGTACAGCGTCTTCCTGAACTCGGAGCCGTACGAATACGTGACACTGACGCTGCGCCCCACGATCGAGAAGATCGTGAGTCTCGCGGACTCCGTGTACACGCAGCCGCAGATCGGCGCTTCCTTCGGTTCTTCCTCGTCTTCAGCGATGACTTTACTTGGAACGGAGGCGATCCGCAGCATTCAACTGGTCTTCACGCCGCTGGATTGGTCGCGTCCGCAAGTCGTGACCGTGTTTGCCATCGATGACGAGATATCGGAAGCTGCCACGCAGTATTCGTCGGTTCTCCACGCCGCGTCGAGTGCTGATGCGAACTACAACATCTCCAACAGCTCCATCGGCGTCGTCAGTGTATCCGTCATGATCAGCGACCGGGAGGCGATTCCCCCTCCGCTGCCGGTGACTGCGAAATTCGACAGCTCCGGCTCAAAGGTCAACATCGCCTTCGACTCGTCGGTCTTCCACGCGGCTTCAATGGACGTCAGCTCGTCTGGAACGTATGTGTCTCGCCTCAAGACTTTCCCGTGCAGTCTCGTGTTCAATCTCGTTGCGACCAAGTATTCGCTGGGCTCTGCCGCGTACTGTTTGTGGGTGGATGGCAAGAACCTACGCATCGAGCTGAGCAACGGAGCGACGTTGGCTGCGGCTGACAAGCTGGTGCTGAACGACTGCAGCTCCTTTGCCGATCAATACTGTACCGCAGCGGACGTGCTGCGCGCGCGGCCTATCAGCCGTGCGTTCTCTCAGGCTTCGATCGCGGTGCAGGCTCCGAGCGACATTGTCCAGCCCAGCGCGGTGCTTGTAGTCCCCGAGAATGTTGGCAGCTGTGGAGCCTGGTCAGCCGATGCGTCGCTTTCAAGTGGGGCCGGTGGTCGGCCGTTCGCGCAGTTGCTTTGGTTCGCTCTCCCTGCCTCGCTGTACTCCAGCTCAGTCTCTCAGACAAGCGCGGATGCAGGGTTGGCGTTGTATCAGCGCCTCAACGCCGGCCTTGAGCTGCTGTGTCAGAAGTACAAAAGCGACTGGATAACGGGCACGTCAACCCTTACGGCAGTTCCAGCTGCGGACATCGCGCTCGCTACGGCGGCGAACACCAACGCAGCGTCGGATCTTACCATGCTATCCACCATGGCACAGCTTCGCTCCGCCTGCTACGTACGATCCGCTGCGCAAAATGCCACTACAGCGAGCTCTTTGCTCCTTCGCGTCAACAGTTCGCTGCTGGAACCAGGCGCTGGATACCGTGTTGGGTTGAAGCTTGTGAACGCCTTCGCTCAAACGACGGTGGTCTCGAAGAGCGTGAGCGTGCAGAGTCAACCAGGACCCGCAGTGTTTATCGTGGGCGAGTCGAGCCAAACCGTGACGCGCGTCGGATCTCCAGTCGTGATGCAGGTTGATGCTGCTGTGAGCTGTCCGACTTTGTCAAGCTCGGACGTCGCCTATCGCTGGACTACAACCAGCAAGAGCACAGACGGCTCCGGAGCTGTCGCGACGGTAGACTTTAGCAAGGACAACTCGGCACGCGACCCGCGCGTCTTCCGCTTGGCGCGCTCGTTGCTGCAAGCTGGCCTCACGTACACGTTCCGAGTCGAAGCGTACATGAAGAGTGCGTCATCCAACCAGTCGTCGAGCAGCTTTGCATCTATGGTGGTGGTCGTCTCGAGTAGCTTACCACAAGTCACGATCAAGGGCGGTGACTGTGCTCTCGGTGAACGAGACACTCTAGTGCTTGATGGCTCCACAACAGTTGATCCGGACGCCTCAAGCACAGCGTTCACGTACACGTGGACGTGCCAGGACGTCACGAACACGTCGGGCTCGACTGTGGCTTCGTGCATGAACGCGTCAGCCACGCCGTCGGTTCCTCTGTCTTTGAGCTCCGCGACTGGGCCAGTGCTGCGAATCGCGCCATTCAACTTCGTCTCTGGTCGCCAACTGAAGTTCTCGTTGACTGCGGCCAAGGGGTCTCGCAGTGCGACGGCTTCGAGTGTTATTTGGACTGTTGCTGGTTATCTCCCGGTCGTTCAGGTCACTGCGTCTGCCTCGAAGATCAATCCCTCGAGCCGCTTGTCTCTTACGGCTGCGGTGAGCTCGGATTATCCCTACACAACGCGGTGGACTCAGACACTGGGGGACCTCGTTCTTCCTACCGCCGACGTGAGCAACACGAGCGACGCGTTCACATTGCCACTAACGAGCGCGAACAACGCGATTCGCAGCTTCAAACTGACGCCGGGACTCACGTACAACTTCCGACTCGTGGCCAACGACACCGGAGGCAACGTCGGCTTCGGCTCAGTCACGGTTGTGGTGAACTCCCCGCCTACATCTGGTACTTTCACTGTGAGCCCGAGCTCAGGATACGCCATGCAGGACTCGTTCACGCTCACTTGCTCGTTGTGGAGCGATGACAAGGACGACTACCCGCTGTCGTACTCCTACGGAGTTCTTTCGGCCGCGAGTTTCAAGCTGCTGCAAGATAACGCGGCGGATGTCAACGCGTTGGTAGCTCAGCTACGGAAATCCATGACGCCGTTGGTGGCGACGCAGTTGTCGCCCACGGCGACTACGAAAATGTTTCCGCCTGGCAACTTGGCGGACAGCGAGAACGTGACGATCGTGGCGTTTATCAGCGATCGACTGGGGGCAGTGGCGCTGGCTTACGACACGATCGAGGTGCTGCTGCCTGAAGCTGCCAAGGCGCAGCCGACAACGTTCCTTTCGAGCCTGTTTGATGCGAATCACAACCTCATTTCTAGCGGCGACGCGTCGGAGGATGTGCGTCAGGTTTTGTCGGCTTCGATGGTGCTGGAGACGGCGTTCAGCTCGTCGTCGTCGTCCGATGGGCCTACAACAAAGACTCGACGCCTTGCTAGTTGCCCAGAAGGATTGGTGGGGGCCAACTGCGCTACGGAGATCGCTGTTGTCCAGCAGATGAATGCTGCCATCTTGGCCACAGTATCGACTGCAGTTAGTACGATGGAGCCAAGCAGCTCGGGTCTTGGCCTACAAGCGCACGTGATCAGCTCGGTGATGCGCGGCGCGCCGCAAGTACTGAGCGCGAGCGAGATCAGCCTTGTGACTCAGCTCAGCAGCGGCATCGCAGGCAGCGCGCTTACGCTGGACGCGCCGGGCGAATTCTTGGATCTGACGAGCGACACGCTACTGGAAGTGATAGCCGTGCTCCTCGGGCTCAGCAGCCCTAGTTCCAGCACCACTAGCAGCGCGCGCAGACTTTCAGACTCGGACAACGTCACTTGCTCCGATACAGTTGAGTCTGCTGGGACTCGCGCGAACTGGAACAACATGGTTCGTACGCTTCAGTCTCTAGCGACGTTGAGCAGCGAGGGATTGCTAGGTGACGAACCGCCTACTACGCTGGAAGCAAGTGACGTGCGCACGTATTCTTCACGAGGTTCGAGCTTCACGGACGCGCCCTCAAGTGAGCTGTCCATGTCGCTCACGTCCACTTCCGTAGCGTGTCTGGGATCGGACCTCTACCTCGACGCCTTCTCACTAGCCAAGAGCCCGCACTCAGCGTGTACGTTGAACAAATCCGAGGCCATCTCTCGCCTCACTCTGTTCTCGGTGCACTCCCAAGCTGCGCTCGATGAAGCTGCAGCGGTGACGACGTATTCGTCTGACGCTGGTGTAGACATGCAGACGCTGGCCAGTACGAGCACGTGTGTCCGAGCAGCCTCTGATTCCATGCGGCGCCTGACATCGGACGATACCGAGGCTGAGACGGAGAAGTGGATGCCGCTAGTTGCCCTCACAATCCCGCACCAGCGCGAACTGTCAGCCATCGAGCAGAGCAACTTCTCGACCGCGTGCAAGACTTGGGATGCGGAGATCTCGAGCTGGTCGGTGGACGTGTGCTTCAAGGACGACAGCATGAGCACAAGCGAGATGACGGTGTGCTACTGCAGAGAGGTGGAATCGGCTCTGGAGGTGCTGGTGACGCTGGAAGAGCGCTTGGACTTCTACGCGCTGCATCCGGAGTTGTACCGGAACGACCAGCCGTCGCTCGTCGTCAGCGTCACGCTCGCCGTCCTCGTTGGGGTCTTCGTGATCGTTGCTAAAGCTGGCCAGACCTTGGATGCACGAGATGCGCAACGGGAGAAGCTCACTACCATTAAGAGACTCAACCGCGCCAAGTGGAGTGAGCTGGAGGCCCGCACTCAAGCGACCAACGTATTGGAGGACTTTGACTCGTTCTATGTCGCTCAGAAGAAGAAACGACTGGAAGCTCGACCACCTTCGGAAGCGCCAACAGCACCCACAGTCGTGGGTGAGTCGTCGGCCGTGCTCTTCTCGTCGTCTACGCGTGGAGTGCAGTTCGGGGAGGCAACAAATGATCCGATCAACACAACAGTGCAGCTCCCTGACGAGGCTCGCACGCTGTTCGGGTCGTCGCCACTGGTAGACCGACAATACCGACGCATGACGCTGCTCTTCCGATTGAGTAACCTCGCTTTAGCGCTGCTAGGCGTCTTGCTGCTGTTCGCAGGACTGGAAGTGCAGTTCGTGCTTGGACGGACTCCAGCGGAACTTGTGTTGTACTTGTACGGGGGCCCTCTGGGCATCGCGCTCATGGTGGGCGGTACCGTGCTGATTACTGGAGGAATCTCGGGAGTTCTTCTTGCACGACGGGGGGCGTCTCACGCAGCTCGGACTGCGTATTTATCCTCGCTAGGCGTCGGTCTGTTGGCCCAGCTGCTCGCTGTTATGTTCGCGTATCACTTGCTCGAGAACTTCAACGCCATGCCGCGAGGTGTGGCGCTGGCGCTGAAGTCTCACTGGGACGCACTATCCTCGGACGACAAGACCCAACTCCAAGTATCTTACGGATGCTGTGGTTTCTTGGCTATCAGCGAAGAAGGCTCTTGTCCGGAGGAAGCTCTCAATACAGTCCCGCCCCGCACGTGTTCGGCAGTTCTCGGAGCTCAGGCATCGACGCTATTCTCCAGCTCGTTCGTCTACGTGGAGGCTGTGCTCTTTGTCGAGATCGCGTGTGTTGCTCTGGCGAACTTCCTCGTGCGCTGGCGTCGGATTCGACTGGTTCAGCTTGCCACAAGCGGTGCCAACGCTAGTGCTGAAGCTTCCATCGCTCGCTCGCTCGTATCCGTTGCGCTATTGTGCTCACTGCCGCCACTGTACGCGTTATTGGCTTGTGCTGCTGCTGGCGCTGTGCTTTTCGGAGTTGACTTGATGGTTCAGTGGGGCGCGATGGCGGACCCGCTCGTTGCTGCGCTGTTTGGAGTGGAGATCGGCGCGTTGATTGTCGCTGGAGCTACAGTTTATTTTGCTATTGCTCTCTGGTCAATGTACGCGCTAGGCAGGCGCGACGTCCGAGCCCTACGCTGGATCGCTGGGCTCTCGTTGGTCTTCTTGCTGTTTACACTTGCAGTGCGCGCATACTCTGGACGGATGCTTGGCGACTTCCACGTGGATCCGTCGATCAGTCGCGCTATTGAGGCCAAGTACACTGCACTTCCGCTCTCATCAACGCTTCTGAATCTGGAGATGACCTTGGGCTGTTGCGGCTTTCGAGACTACACGCAAGGCACTTGTGTGGAAGACTCGTCGAATATTGGTCTGCCTACTTGTCGTGAACAAGTAGAGACAGCTTTGGAGCGCGCAATGTCTTTAGCGATCGATCGACTAACGGGATTTGTGGTTGCTGAAGCTGTTGTGCTAGTGCTGCTGGTTTGGCTGTGTCTGCGCCTTCGACGCTTCGCTTCTTTGGCTGCGATTTCTTCTGCACAAGCGGCTATTGAAGCTACCTGCCCTCGTCAACCCCTGACACTATTCCAACAAATCTTCGTAGTGGTGTTGGCATTGCTGAGTCTCGTGGCTGCAGCTGCCGGTATTGGAGTTCTGTGTCTGGGGGTCGATGTGCTCTTCGAGCTCAACGTGCTGCAGTTGTCGTACTTGCTTCGTGTGTTCGACCGCCGCTTAGGTGCCTATCTGCTCATTTTTGGTGGTGGAATGGAGCTCTTCGCGTTGTTCGGCAGTGTCGTGGCGTGGTTCGGCGCACAAAGAACGCCTCGACGCAAGACGATGAGGAAGTGGGTGGTGAACAGCTACTTGGTAGCGTGTGTGGCGCTGTTTATCACTGCGTTCATGCTGGCTGGAGTTGGACATAAGCTTTCAGTGCGTCTAGCACCTGCGACTGAGGGGGACGATGTCACTGCCAACGAGATAGCGGTTGATTCGCGTCTCAAGGATCTGTGGAGCTCAGCGCCGTCCACTACGAAACTATTCGTACAGAATACGCTCCAGTGCTGTGGCTTCGAGCGTGTTGAAGCGGCTAACGGATCCGTAACGTACACGCTCCAAGCTGAGCAGTTTGGATGGCGGAGACTCACCTCGACGTCCACGTATCAAGTTTACAGCTCGAATCACGACCTGGAGTCTCAGAGAACCCGCGTGCTCACTGAGACTCGAGCAGAGACGACGCTGGTAACTGACAGTACACAGTGTCCACCCGATGCCATCGACGGTTGTGCCACCCCCATGAAGCAATACGTTTCTCGTGTAGCCCGTATCGCCTGGCAATTGTGCAGCGGACTTGCCACCTTCAGTGTTGCAGCGTTGTTCTGCGCCAGCGGCTTACGTGACATCGATCAATTATCAAGACAATGGCAGCCTGGCTGGCGACTTCGCGTTGAGCGCTTGGCGCTGCTGCTCATGGTTCTGGTAGGGACTTTAGCTGCGTTGGTGTGCTTCATCCTGGGCTTGGACGTGGCTGTCGGGTGGACACTCTTCAGCTCCAGCGCCTTCCAAATGGTGGTTGCTCGGTCAATGGGCTCGGTGTTGATGCTGTACGGCGTGCTGGCTCTACTCACCCATGCGTATTCAACTCGAGCCGCCCTTCGCTTCAGCGTGCATCAAATGTTCTTGCAGTGCGTTGCTCGGCTGGTACTAGCTGCCGCAGTGTTTGCGGGTGTGGGGTTCACAGCTTATCTGTCGCATTACTCGTCAGCGTCGGACGCAACTTGGCACGCGCAGCTGACAGACTTCCTAGATGAACAATGGAGCTTACTGACGCCCTCCACACAGAATACGATCGCGCTCGAGTTCTCATGCTGCGGGTTTAATGACCCCGTGCTGGTAGCTGGCCAAGGCATCGTGTTTGATCGACCAGCGCTTGGCTACCCGGGCTGTTCCCTAACGATCTCGCGTGGCTGCAAGGGACCCCTCGTGACGGGAGTTGAGTCCTCGTTTACGTGGCTGTTTGCCTTCTTACTAGCACTTGCGCTGATGGAGATCGTGTTGTTCTTCCTCGGCGCTCTCGTCCTTCGTGACGTCCGCAACTACGAGGCAGAAGCGTGGTTCGCTTTGGAAAGCCGGCTGCGCTATGTTGCGGGGAGTTTCAGACGCGATTTCCGGCGGCAGCACGTGCTGGTTTCAGTTGGTGCGAGGTTTGACGCGCGCCTCACGCGCGCTCAGCGTGCAGTGAGCGTGCTTTGTGCTTGGGCGGCGTCGCTCGCGGTGTATGCAGGCTATTACGCCACAAAAGGATGCTACCGGACGTCGTTGAAGTCGTGCGAGCAGCCAGGTGCAGGCGAACTACTGGGCTTTGGGCTAGTGTATGGAGGCGCTGTCGGAATCGCCGTGCAGACTGTGACTGTCGCGTTGTTCGAGCATGTGCGGCACCGTGCCGACGATGAAACCAAGGAGGTTGCTACTGCTAGACAGCGGAAGGAGAAGGTGCTGCTCTTCCGTGGGCCATGGTTCCGACGGCGTCGCGCCGAGACGCAGGAGTCAGCCAAGGTCATGGAGCAGTCGATCGTCGCAGGAGAGACTTCGACGCTTGGCGCGACGCAAACCACGACCGAGGAGCGCTGGTTCGTGTGGCTCACTCGCTTTGTCGCCTTGGCGTTCCAGACCTGTGGGGTGGTTTTGTTCCTGGGAGGCTGCGCGCTTGCAACACTGCTTGGATTACTACGGTTGGGCTACAACAACTCCCTGTATGGTGTACCACTTGATGAAGATGTTCTGGAGCTGCTAGCGCTTGCGGTCGCACTCATCGTCGTCTCACTGCTCGCGGCACTAGCCAACGATTTACGTGAGCAGCAGATTAAGCGCCCGCTTCGTCGCAAGATGACCCCAGTGATTGTGATGCTTGTGATCGTGGCGATCGCTGCTGTTCTAGCGTTGGGCGCGGTGCTTCTCGCGGTGTTTATGATTCACGAGGTGGTTCAGGACGACGCGAGCGCCCTCAATAGCTGGAGTGTCCGCACTACGGGCTTTAGCGTGGCGGAGCGACTCGAGACGGCGTGGAAAGAGGAACTCACGGGCTACGCCAAGGACACAGCGCAGCAGGAACTACGCTGCTGTGGGTTCTGGAGCGCTACAGACGCGCCGTTTCTTCCGTGTCCTGAAGGCGATCCCGTGGAGGTCACTTACGAAGCATTGAGTGTGAGCGGCGCTGTCGTGACTGAGACGAAAGATGAGTTCACCACCTTGCCAGGGTGCCGCGCAGGGATGCTCGCGCGCTTCCAGCGAGGTGCGGACGTGGCGACGTACTGCGCGCTTACCGCTGCAGGGCTGCTGTTCCTGATGGTGGTCACCTCACTCTTTCTCGCGCGCGAGCTGGCGATTTCCAAGGACGCTAAACTGAAGCTGCGAGTGCCAGACTCTGGCGCCAACGAGGACGAAGTCAAGCGAGACGTGCGCGAAACATTTGAGACGGTCGTCGGGCTCAAAATCGCCGTACCAGCTCGGGGCAAGCTGCGCTCGCAGTTGTTGGCTTCGAGTCTGGATAGCGTGGCGCCTACAGTTGCAAGTGAACTGGCCGCAGCACCTTTGAAACACGAACAGGTTGTTATCTCCAGCGCACTGTCCAACGAGGTAGACCGTGGCGTTGATGACGGTGTGGCTCTTGCCGATTCGGTCGGTGTCGGTGGTGATGACAGCGAGAGTGTGCCGTACCCGGCATCGATAGTGTACGTGGTGTTCTCCATTTGTCTGGTATGGCTAGCAATCATGGCCAATGTCGTGGCGATCAGTGCGATGGAGCTGGGCTTGGCCACGTCGTGTCACTGCGTGTTGGCCTGGGCCGTGGGTGTCGCTATTCAGGAGCTCGTAGTGGAGCCCGTCGTGATTTTCGCGTCTATCGTAGCGCGCACGCTGCGTGACTGGTGGTCGCGCACTCTAATTGCAAGGATCATCCGTCGAGGCCGCGCTCTGCTGCGTATCGGGCCGCAAGACGCGAGAGCATTGGAGCGCGAGCAACTGGGTAAGTCGCTGACTCTGTACGATCGCTTGCGTTATGCTGCTGCTGTGCGCATCCAACGCCGCCTGCTGACGAAGGTTACACGCGCTCGCTACCTGCGTCAGCTTCGGGCGCACAAGCAGGAGCAACATCGTTTACTTGCAGTTCGGAGGCGCGAGACGCTGCGCAAGACGCTGACCCACTTCAGCGAGGAAGAGATCGATGCCTTCCGCTTGTTGTTCGCATCCGCAGACGCGGCGCAGCTTGGCTTGGTGTCACACACGGCCATCGCGCAGGCCGTTTATGATCTGGGCGTGCACGTGCCAGCTACGAAAGTCCGTGAACTGCTGGAAGACTTCGATCCGGCCTATGCGGATCTTGTGGACTTTGAACACTTCTTGTACGGCATGCACTGCGTGCGCGTGTATCACCAGCAGCTACAGACGCAAGAAGCTGAAGTCGCTGAACAGCCTAAAGCGAAGCGGATCGACGACGAGAAGCTCGTGAGTTCGTCCGATCGCTTCGGTCCTCGTGCGGACCCGCGAGCCGAGCTGCTGGTCAAGCGCCAGAATCTGCTGCGCGAGCTGCGAGACCGTCGCGAATCGCTCGCACACAAGTTGATGCGGAAGGTGAGCGGGAAGCTGCCGCCTTTGATGCAGCGTGGTAAGAATGCGAGGGCGGGGTCAATCGACGAGGGCGACGAGTTGCAGGCGGAAGATGAAGCGGCCACAGTAGGCGATCAGCCTACGGGCACCTACGTCTTCTGGCAGAACCGCAAATTGTCGCCCAAGAAGCGCGCGCTTGAGTCCGTCCTGAAGAAGAAACACCAGGCGAGGTTGCAGTCCGAGAAGCGGCAGCGGGATGAAGCTGCGGTGGAGGGTTACGATGCCCCCACGACCGCTAGAACCGCCGTAGAGCTGGATGCAGGTCCGCGGCCGAAGACATCGACGTCTCCTGCCAAGCGCGCTCTGAAGACTGTGGTCAGCAAGAGAGCTGTAGTCTCTCGAGGGAACACGGCAACAGCAAGAGCGGAGACTGCAGTGTTACCGCAGCCAACCGAGCCAGTGACTACTGCACCAAGCACCGCTAACAGCGAAGAGGAAGATAAAAAGCCCGTTGAATCAGTTGCTGCTGCTGGTGAGGAGCGAGGCGGAGACAAGGTGGCGCCTGTCGTCACGGTCGAGCTCGAAGCAGGCGGTAGCAGTAACTTGGTCGAGAGCAGAGCTGCCACCGCTGCCACTACCACTGACGAGCCCAAGCCTGCGGACCCAGCCCCCAAATCCTCTCCGAAGGCGGAGGAGGCCAAGCCCTTCGGCGCGTACATGCTGCTCACGAAGCAGCCGCCGCCGTTCCGACCGCCGCAGAGGAAGCAGGAGGCGCCTGCTGATGGCGAAGGTGCAGCCGACGCTGCTCCTGCTGCTCCCGTATCTCGCCCCGTGACTGCGGAGAAGCCCAAACCCAGCGGCGCCCAGAGCGCCTTGGAGAAGGCGCTGCTCAAGAAACAGAAGCCTAATAAGACCAAACCAAAGCCGTAGGGCGGGCGATCGTTGCGATGGAGCGTATCCAAAAAAGTGCACGTTGAAGTTGTCACGTCGCGCTGACTCACCGCGCATAATCGCGCTAAATCACAGCAAAAATACAGCAAACTAACCTGCTATTCACATAACCCTAGTGTTTTTTCTACAACCGGGATACAGCAGCCGGCCAGCCGGTCATCCATCACTTACTTCACTATCCCGCCGCGCTGTCCGGCGCTTCAAGGCCCCCGTCTCTCCGTCCCGCCGCTCGCGCCCCGTAGGCGCGCCGCCCATGCGCCGCAATGCCGTCCACGCCCGCTCCCGCCCCTAATGACGCCGCCGCCGCCGCTGTGCCGGACGACGGCCTGGTCTTCCTGCCGCAGGCCTCGCCGGCGCTCGAGCTGCTGTGCGTGGCGCTGTACCTGACGCTGGCGCTCGTGGCCGCCTGCCGCGCGCTGTCGCTGAGCGCGCGCGCCTCGGCCTTCCAGCGCAGCACGTTCCAGCGGCTCATGGTGGCCTTCGCGCTGGCGCGCGGCGCGTCCTTCGTGGCGCAGGGCGTGCCGCGCAACCTGCTGAACCGCGCGGCGCTGTGCCTGTTCTTCAGCCTCGTGCTGTTCCAGACGCTCTTCTGGATCGACATCGCCAACCCCAAGGTCTCGCGCCGCTCGCGCCGCATCTGGGTGGCCTTCATCGTGGCCAACGGCGCCTTCTACGCCGCCGTGCTGGGGCTCTCGCTGCTGCACGAGGCCAAGGTGGCCGAGGCCCAGCACGCGCGCGCGCGGCTCGACCTCTCCGCGCTCTGGACGGGCGTGCTACCCGTGCTCTTCGTGGCCGCCGGCAGCTTCGTCAGCTCGCTCGGGCTGCTCTACTCGACGTGGCAGATGTGCCAGCGCGTGGAGCGCGTGCTGCGGCCCTCGGGCGACGGCCTGCGCCGCCGCCTGGACGAGAAGGTGGAGAAGAAGCTCACGCGCGCGCTGCGCTTCACGATCCTCGTCATGGGCGCGTGCTCGGCGCTCTTCCTGCTGCGCACCATCATCTACATCCAGCGGCCCTTCTCGCACCAGGGCTGCGGCGACATCCACAGCGCCGACGTGTGCGTCGTGGTGGGCTACGCCATCCCGGAGATCGTGCCGTGCGTGCTGTTCCTCGTGCTCATGTGGGAGGTCGAGCCCACGCTCGAGATCCCGTCGCGCCGCAGCCTCAGCTACAACGGCGGCCGCGTCACGTCCGAGTCCACGCCGCTGCTGGACCACGAAGTGCTGCCACGCCCGCTGTTGGTGGCGGCCAAGAAGTTCGCGGACGGCATCGGAGCTGCCTCGAGCCACGCAGTCACGCAGCCCAACTCGCCACCGGGCGGCTACTTGACGCTAGGCCGTCGTCCGAGTCCGCTCTCGCTGGGTCTGGGCAACGGCGTGCTGGACCGCGCCAAGCGGCGACTAGCGCTCGTGGTTCGACAGCATTTAGGTGGTGGACACAAGGAGCAGCAGCCGATGGACAGGTCGGCTCGACTCGATTCAACCAGCAGCGCCGGATCACCAACAGAGATGCAGGACTACGAAAGACAGGCAACGCAGCTGACTGTTTCGGACGGATCATGGGGCTACCACTCGAAATGGCCCGCGCAGGCTGCTTCGACAGTGCCGTGCGCGTGGCTGTCGTTCCAGTGCTTCAACCTGACGCTGCCGTCCAAGTCGTCCGTGAGGTCCTCGTCGTTCGTTGTGCTGCATTTGATGAACGCGGAGACAGGAGCGGTGATGGCTGAGGTTGGCCGCACCGAGGTCTCGCACTCGGAGGACCCGTGCTTCCACATGATGCTGGCCGTTGAAATGCGCGAACACGATCTGCTACGCGCGTCGGTGTACTCGGTCCGCAACCCGAACTCGCTGGACGATCTTGACAGCCAGTGGCTCGTGGGCGACCCGCTCGTCCCGTTGTCGTCGTTTATGACAGGTTCAGCTCCAGCAATCGGACGCGCATCCATCTTCTCGTTGTATTCCCCGTTGTCTCGAACGCAGTCTTCTGGAGAAATTGTTATTCGTTGTGAGGCGGAGGTGAAGGGGCTACATGCTGGAATGTCCACCGACGGGCTGGAACGTATTACACGATCATTCATGTATATTGGAATCAAGAACACAGGCGCCGAGGATGCCTCAACAACTCCCGATGATTCGGGATACTCCGAGATAGCTCAGCAAATGATTCACCTTGCGTCAACCTCCCAACGCTCACAAGGCAAGATGCTGGTGGAAGAAGAGCTGATCGAGAGTGTGTACACGTGGGAAGTCCCGTACCAATTGCTGCAGTTGATCCTGTCGGATTTACTGGTGAAGCTCGATATACTCAAACGCGAGATTGCGCTCGACGATGGCGATGATAGTTCATCGTCAACCCCTTCAAGTCAACTATCGACTCCTAGCGTCGGTGGTTATTCACTCCCCTCGGTGATCCCCGCCTCACCAAGGGCCCTTGGCACCGTGCAAGAAAATGAAATGGGCCACACAGCCCATTCCTCAGAAGACTCCGAGTCGTTGCCGTCCGCAGCCTCAGCATTGAGCTCCTCCTATCAACATGAGAACCGCATTAGACCGGCAACCAGCATCGGTATGCTCTCCGAGATGATCATCCAGATTCAAGACGATGTTATTGAACGTAAGAAGCGAAAGTGGCGCTTGGATCTGGTCAAGACAATGGAGCAGTACATTTCCGAAGTGGAAGACTCGATTTTGCGGTACGGAGCCACCCAGCACGCGGGGCTCACGTTCAAGCCCAGCACGATGAAAGCAGACGCCGATCTTCGCTTCCTGGCGCTTAACCTCCATCAGCAGCTGATGACGGTCGGCAATGCAGCTCCCACGTCGGAAAACGACGTCCGGTATGGCGACGAGACAAGTGCTGCGCGCTACGCTCGCCTCGTGAACTCGTTCGTTGGCGCGCTCATGTCTTCGCCATTGCACGTGTCGGGAGAATCCAGCGTGAATGGACGACAGACCGATCTCGATTCCGTGCAGTTTATCGACGACGATATCAATGACGAAGATGAAGTCGCTTCATCTCCGCCTCCCGGTGAATTGCCGCTGGAACCTGTCGAGGCGCTACGTCGGCGCGTGATTTCGTTTGATTCTGCCGAGACGATTGTCAACAAGGGAGCTGCTGGCCAGGATGTGGCTGTTCCATCGGAGCAGCGGAAGCTGGCAGAAACTCTCGTGGCGATGGGGATCACCGAGGAGGAGTTCCAGAGCATCTACGGACTGGACGATAACGTCGACTCTTCGGATGTCATGGACGTCGTCGCTGATCTAACTCCGTTCGGTTCGTATATCGATGAACTGAAGATCTCAGTACCCCCGAGCAGTGATGGATCACCAGAGAACTCACAGTCAAGTGTCCAGCTGAGGAAAGCATCAATGTCGATTGATACGAACGCTAGATCCCGCCCTCCCTTTTACAAACACAGGATGTACGGTACAACCACAGTTGGAGCCTTTGCGGCGCACGTGTACGGGTTCAAGAGTGGCGGGGTGCGGCAGATGCGTGAAGAGCTGGAGAGGCTTCATGCGCGCTTAGTGAAGGAAGCCCAGGCGAGCTCGGACCTTACGATGGACGCGTTGGAACGCAAGTACAACGAGCTCAAGTGGGACGTAGAGCGCCGCCTTGAAGTCGCATTTTGCCAGGCGATGAGTGCGCTGGTCACGTGCTTCCAGCAGACGCTGTACGTGCACACGCACGACCACCGGGACTTTGGGCCTTACCCTCTAAAAGCTTGCGGCATCGACTACCTGGAGATGCTCACGAGGGTTGGCTTCCTGTTTTCGGTTGAAAGTCTTTTATCTACGTATGGCAACGAGCTTGGAATGCTTGGCGATACGGAGGCAGCAGTCAAGGAGCTTGGGAGGGTTCACATCAAGCTGAGGCCTGTGAAGTCCCCGCGCGCTGCTGCTTTCCGCGTCTCCATCACGTCTGGCCCCTCGGGTATCGTCATCGAGCTTCCTATCATCACGCGTCGCGCCAGCGAGTTTCCGGATCGAAGTATGCACCGCGTCCCGGGCCAGGACGCAGTTTCAGGCGCCATTTACTTGTCTCTATCGACGCCGGAGCAGAAGATGCGGGCCAAGTTTCTATTCCAGAAGCCCATCCGAGTGGTGCCGGTGATCTTCTCGCAGGGACTGAACGAGATGCAGACGGTCGCGAACACCGTGGGCAAGGCTTCTCTCCAGAAGGAGATCAATATGGAGTACGTCGTCCAGCTGGAAGCCTACGTCAACAAGTTCGCCGACTGGTGCCTCAAGAAGCAGCGTCGCGACAAGGCCCCCGCTCCGATTTACGATGCCGAGGACCTCGACCGCATCCAGGCCTCCCTCACGGCGCTCACGGTAAGCATCCAGCTCTCGGGCCGGTCCAAGCGGATGTCGATTCTGAGCCTGTCGTCATCCATTGCGCGCTGCGTTGGCGGCGGGCGTGTGACAATGTGCAAATCGGCCAAGGACCGGACTTCCATGTCAATCACCCTCGAGGAAGCCAACTTGCTGGTGCGTTCGCATGGACTGGTGGCCGACGACATGGGGGCCTTCACCAAGCTACTCCGCACGTACGGCGTTCGACGCGAAAACGCTCGCAAGAACATTGGCAAGGCGCAGTACTGCTTCAGCGCGCTGCAGAACTACATGCTGCCGCAGGACTACCAGTGCCCGCCTGGTACAGGGGGCGGAAGTCGCGCGTATTCGTAGAATACAGAGGTGGCGAGCTGTGAACTGGAACCATGGGCGCGGGGCAACTGAAGGGTGTAATTTACGTTTTCGATTTTTTTAACAGACAAGGGCTACGTGATACGAAGGGGACGGTGGGCTGGCTAACTGACACTACCTACACTTATTGCCGCAGCGTCAAGATGTCCTGCATCGACATGGTGCGAGTGCTGCGCTGGACCTCCTGAGTTGGCGTGAGTTGCGACGTCATGTCACGCTTGAAGGCTGTGAGGAGGGAGGCGTCGACAAGCAGGTTCAATGATGGCATGGGTGGCGCTGACGCTGACGGTACGCTTGTCGGAGCAGGAGCAGCCGCAGCAGCGATGCTTGGCGGTGTCCACGAGTCGCAGGTTTTGAGGCGCGCGTTCGTCGAGAAGGCAAAGCTGGTCTCTTTGTTGGGGCTCACGCGCTGCAGGTCGAGGTTAAAGCTGTGCATGGTAGACGGGGGCGTCATGAGCGGCGCTGCCGGAGAGAACGGAGGCGGGATCGCGGCCGTCGATTGCGCTGCCATCGGCGCTGCGTGTGTCATGAAGTCATTTTCATCGACGTCGGACATACGTTCGTCGTCGTCGGAGATGGTCGTGGTGGCGTTCGAGAGCGTGGGGGACGAGCACCAGGATCCGGACCGCACCGCCGACAGCTTGGAGTGTGTTGCAATCGACTGCAGACCGATCTGCGGCATCTTCACCTGCAGCAGACGCTTGGCGCTGGCGCCGCGGAGACTGGACGCGTTGGGGTGCAGCACCGCAGTAGGCAGCGACTCGCCCTCCTTCTCGAGCTTGCGTCGCAGGTTCTCCATGGCTTCCTGGCGGATCCGCTCGACGTTCTTCTCGCTGCGGAAGCCCAGGTAGGGCCAGCGCCGGATGCCGAGCGAGCGGCAGACGCGGATGAGCGTGCGGCTGCTGATGCCGAGGTCCTCGGCGGCTTTCTTGGCCGTGCAGGTGAAGAGCTCGGCCAGCACGTCGAAGGACAAGGTCTTGATGCCGTGTCTGGTGTGGACGCGCACGACGTACGACGCGTAGGACGCTGCCAGCGAGCTGCTCTTGTGGCGCGCCATGCTGGGCAAGGACGGGAACGACGCCGTGGGCAGTGCGATCGAGTGCACCGAAGGTAAGGGGCTGGCCATCGTAAGAAAGAGGGAGGGACTCGGAAGCTGTGGTCGAGTGGGTGGGTGGACGCTGGAACTACCAGAGGAGACCGCGCGTCTTCTTGGTGTTGATCTGCCACGGCAAATTCGAAAGTGGGTGGGCCACTTGGCCGGTGGATTTGGAGGCGAGGCTAAGAACGGTGGCGCGGCGCGACATGCGTGAGGAGGAGTGGGGACAGACCGAGGAACAATGCAACTGCTCGCTGGAAGATGGAAGAACCTGGAGCGCGGCCCGCTTGGCATGGCGCTCAGCGGTAACCGCAGGGCCGTCTACGCCACTCTTCCCCCTGGTACGTCTTTCCAGCCTTCCCCTGGGTTTGGTCGCCAAACTGTGCCGAACGTGACGCACGCGTCGCCGCTGTCTTTCGACGGAACTCGCACGGAAGCCGGGCGCCGCGTCGTCGCACTGAAATGCCGGTCAACGTTAAACCTGCCTCGAGGAAGGGGTCTCCACCGGCACGCGCAATTGTGTGGAAGCCGCGCTGACACGTTGAGCCCGTCCGCCCGTTCGTTCCGACTTGCGGGTGGTAGTCAGCACGAGGAGCCAGTCGCGGTAATTTCAGTCTCAGCTCGACTACCCAAAGGGCATTGAAGACGGGGCTCTGGGTGGACAACAGCGGGAGGCCTGTCCCTCTCGCTGAGTCCGCTTGGCGGATCGCGCGTTCAGCGCGAGCGTTTGGTCGAGCCGCTACGTAGCGGGCTGGCGTCAGGGCGCCGATAACGGAGAATTTGGTGGTCGATACTCTCGCGAGCTGATTCAACGGCGCACTATCACCGCGCTTACGAGCGACTCGAGCGACCCATTCATGGGATATCGACCGGCCGGCCGGTCGCGTCCGACGCAACGAGAAGTTCGCAACCCATCGGCTAGCGGCACTAAATGCTAGCTAGCCTGGCTGCCGGCCTGGTGAAGTGGTGGTATACTCGAGTTGCAGGTAGTACTAAGGTGATCTCCACGTAGTAAAGTACTGTATACTTCCCGAGTGTATGAAGATCAGGGGCCTCGTCTGGCCGATCCGACTTGTGCTAATGCTACCAACGCGCTCTCAAACACGAACCGGCAAGTCGCCCATAGAAACGAATTCTTAGTCGAGAGGCGAAAATCACAATAATGGAAGGAGTCCACAAGAGCAGAAAGCAGATCAAAAGCGTATGCGTTCAGACGATAGCAGACCTCGTGGACCCGTAGGTCACGCCGATCGAGGCGACACCGGCAGACTCGACGTCGAAGATGGAACAAATGAGGCCGAGGTGGCGGATTTGGCAGGCCCAAGTCGGGGGGACGTTGCACCCGAGTTGCCTCGGACAGGGCGATCCTCGTACCCTGCTCTAGCAACCGAAGTATATCAACACCAAGCAGCTGCTACTCGAGCACCGTAAGTGAGCGTGAGTCGCTGCGTTGCAGTGTAAGCAACCATGGAACGCGAACGAGGGTCATGCTCAAGTGAGTGCAGGTAGAGGCGCCACCACTCCGCCCGACTTGTACGTAGCGATTCATGTGGCTTCTTCCAAAGCAAACCATGTTCAGTCACTTCCCCCGGGAAAGTTTTCCGTCCTTCTGAACGACACGAAATTCTTCAAGCACTTTGGACCGCGATCGACAAGAATCATCAGCCGGCGTCGCCAAGCCGGTGCTCGGGTCTGCGTTCGCGGCGGCGACGCACTTTGCCTCATTGTCTTCCGCTCTCGGCTTCGTGACGACGGAACATGAACAAGAAGAACAAAACCTCGTGGAAAAACTTCACCTGCTTTCAAGGACCACCCCAGCTTCACCCCAGCTCCAGTTCCTCCGTCGAGCTTAGTCCTACGCAAAACAGACACAGGCCAGACAGAGTCACCTGGTTGCTGTAGACCGCGTGCAAGCAGATCACCGGCTTGGACGTGACTCCCGTGACGCCTTAAGTCACAGAAATTGTCGGCCGCTCTTGACAGCGTCAAACATTTCTCCGCCCATGAGGCGCCTGCAGGCCGCAACCTGTGCTCTCACTTGCTCTCACTTGCTCTCTCTGTATTACTCGTACACTGTGGCCTCTCCTTCTCTCCTCTTAGAGCGCGCCCAGGCCGACGCCTTCGAAGCCGGCGCCCGAGATCTCCATGGCCTCGGCCGCTGCCGACTCGTCCTGCACTCGGCTCGCGCGTCCTCCCGCGCTCTTCTGCTGCTTCTTGAGCTTGGGCGACTTGGCCGGCCGCGTCACGTTCTGCCCCAGCCAATAAACGTTTAAGAAATAATTAGGTCTACCCCAATATATAAGAAAAAAATGACGCCATATCTGCTGCGTACGATGGACACGCCCAGCTTCTTGCAGAGCGCCTCGGCCTCCGCCCACTTGAGCACGCCGTACTCGAGGCACCACTTCTGCGCCATGCGGCTGTCGGGCCGCTGCTGCAGCAGACTCTCGTAGAACACGCGGTCCGCGAAACCCTGCGCCAGCACAGGACAATAAAAAATAATAACATGTTAGAATATATATTATAGCGACGGCGAGCGCGGCCAGGCGGCGGCCAGGCGACGGCCAAGCACGGCCAGGCATGGCCAGGCGCCAGACGTACGGGCGACGGCGTGGGGTGCTTCTGGCCGGGCTTGCGGTTGGCCTCCAGCTCCTTGGACCACTCCTCCTCCTCGATCATCTTTCTCCTATTTTCGTAGACTAAAGTGATGGCGACGGTTGGATTTGCGACGAATTTTGATTGAAAAAATATTTTTTAGCAGGCCATTTTTTTACTTTTTGTAGGGGGGGGGGGGGGTTGGATGACGAAACCTGTCCGCGACGGTCATCAAGAGCGACAGCGCGGCGCGTGCATGTAACGAGGAGTTTGATGGTCGCGTGTTGTCTGGTGTGGCGAGCGCGTTCGTTGGTGCTCCCGTTGATTCGAAGGTTAAGTCGTTGCTGCGCTCAGACTGCGGCGCTGCTGGGCCAGTAGTCCCCGGTGCTGCGTTCAGCATGGACGCCCACGAACGGAAGTGATACGACTTGACGTCTCAGCTGGACTGCCTGCCACTCACTCACTGAGTCAACGGGCGATGCCCGCACGAAAGATATTTGAGGCGCGTTGGCTTCGCATGAGCTAATGCAGGCCTCGAGAAGCGAAATAGGAACGAGCAGCTACTGTCGGTGATGATCGCTCCAGTGGAGCGGAGTACTTGCTGGCTAGACTTTCGCCTTGGTGGATATCGCATAGAGTGACGCCTTGGAGAGGACTCCCATACTGAAGCCAGCGCCGACCAGAACGCCAGCGCTCGATTGGCTTTCTTCCGGTTCCCCAACGGGTTGCGCGGACGAAACCTTACTACGGAATCCTACCGTTGGCTTCCTACGACGGCCAACGAGAAACTGCAGCCTACGTCTTCGACTGGAAATTCACGACTGAACTGCTTGCCAGCACGCGTTGCCGTCGCGAAACGGGTGCTGAATCGGCTAAAGACGCTCGCTTTCGACTGCCAATCCGCATGAGATCATCGCCTTGGGGTCAAGTTTCTAGCATTGGTATGATTCCACTCCGCGGGTTTTAGAAGAATTCACTATCATCGATACACTAACGACGAAAATGTGGTATATTGATGTCACTTAGGCTCACCTGGCGACTACAATGTATGTACGTTCAAAGGAGAAGCTCGCTCGGTTGGATAAACACCTGCGCTTAAGCGCCCACGACGGTCGAGTTCGAGGCCGAGCCGTCCGTAGCTGCGGGGGCCGTGGTCGGGGGAGCAGTGGTCGCCGTCAGCGACGCGCAGGTCGAAGAGAAGCCGTTGGCGTACTCGTACACGTTGAGCACCAGGCCGCTCGTCGGCACCGTCAGCTCGCAGTTGGGCGGGTTGAGCGAGATGATGGTCTCGATCATGCTCTCGCACGCGGTGGACGCGCACATGAGTTTGTACTGAGCGGTGGTGGGCAGCGAGGTGGCCGTCAGCATGGAGTAGCCCGAGTCCTTGGAGCACTGCGTGAAGGACGACTTGGACAGGATGCTCACGAGAGCGACGTAGGCGGCGGTCTGCTGGGTCGTCGTGCAGGTCGTGGCGTTGACGGAGCCAACAAGAGCGGCGACGGTCGCGGCGAGAACGGCGGTGAACTTCATCTTGGTGGAGAGTGGTGGAGTATGGATGACAAGGCAAATTGCAGAATGGACGAGTGGGGCGGGGCAGTGGAGTGTGAGCCTGTGACTTAACTGGCAGCCTGCCAGTGCCAGTGGCAAGGTTTCACTGTAATAATCGCCCCTCAACTCGATGGTTCAAAGTATCGGCTCAACGTAAACGCTTGCGGCCTCGCAATATCTATGAGTGACGTGATTCTCTTCAGTTGGCGGCGTCTGACCGCTTGTAGCGTATTCTACTCCTGCTTCACAGGCCCGAATCCCACAGCTACTTGCTGTTGTGACCGCATTTCCTCGCCACCGAACAGGTCTGGACTAAGCGTCTGCTCGCCATAGAGCGCCATCAACGCTTGATGATCAACCACACCGCTGCACCATGGATAGATTGAAAGTCAACTGGACGGGCTTGGTACATGTACATGTATCCGTTCCCCCGTCTCAGTACACTCGTTGACTAACTTACTTGAGAGGATCAATCCTACCCTCTGCAACTTGCATCAGACGCTACACTCCATGACATGGTCCATGCATGCTGACGGGATCCATCATGAAGCAGTTTCGCGCCGTGGTGCAAGGCCTGTTGTCTACCTTTGGACCATTGTCCCACCATTCTGCCCAAACTGCTGCTTGGAATCGGGTTAACACTGTTATCTAGCTACTGGTTGCCCTGGTGGGTACTCTGAAGGACAGACTAGCTACCACTAAAAGACTATGGTGAGTACACGTAGCGACTGTTTCAGGTAGAGTGCCTTGCAACACTGTTAACCAATATCCTAACCAAGGAGTGATACCAATCCGCTACCGGTATGTTCAAACATCTATGGCCCCAAGTTTTCCTCTACGCCACAAAAACGAAGCAGAATCTGAAACAAACAAGCTATTAGTACTACGGCAACTCGACACGTACCATCTCGAAATGACATGTAAGTTACATGGAGTAGAAATCACGCGATAACTAAACAAAAATATTCTTTCAAATAGCCTTATAAAGGCCCAAACAGCAAACGGTTATACGTCTGATACCAGCTCTTTACCGAGTCGTTTAAGTGAAAACGATACATCTTGGCGACTGAGGCTGCTTACAGCGACGCGCACGTGGACGAGAAGCCGTTGGCGTACGAGTAGACGTTGAGCACCAGGCCGCTCGTGGGCACGGTCAGCTCGCAGTCGGGCGGGTTCAGCGACACGATCTTGGTGATCATGGTGTTGCACGCCGTGGACGCGCACATGAGCTTGTACTGCGCCGTCGTGGGCAGCGCCGTGGCCGTGAGCATCGAGTAGCCCGAGTCCGTCGCGCACTGGTTGAAGGACGAGTCCGAGAGGATGCTCACCAAAGCCACGTACGCGGCGGTCTGCTGCGACGAGGTGCACGTGGTGGCCGAGGTGGAGCCGACGAGCGCGGCGACGGTGGCGGCGAACAGAGCGCGGAAGTTCATCTTGGAGGTGGTGGAGTGGGGTGGAGTGGGGTGTGGGTGACAGAGCAAATTGCACAATGGCGAGTGCGGTGGCTGCGGTAGACTGTGTCCTGTTGACTCGGAGGCGGCTGCATGGGTTAACGTGTTGCCGTGGCTGTGCGAACGGCGAAGCTTTCCGCTGTCGGCGACTGCCGAAAGGTGCACAACTTGACTGGCGTTGTACGGGTGCAACTTGTATCCGTGCTCGGAGACCAAGAGAGGGGCGAGCATCTGGTCCATGCAATGTAGATGGACGAGAGAAGCGTCTCGCGGGATCCGCTCGGCCTGGCTGTGAGCGTCCACTGCGCAGAGACACTGGCATGCTTCTTTCGCGAGTCGCCAGGATGTTGTTCGCGGACACGAAGGAGACGACAACGCGCAATGCGAATACGGAGACGACAACGCGCAGTGCGAATACGTGTACTGTACAGTCCACGATGGTCATCTTGCCAGCATCTCGAGTTCAACCTGGTTGTGGAGCAGCAGACTGCCTCATGCATAGATGGCGACTATTTGACTGCAGGGATCTACGCTGGCGAGGAGGCCACGCGCTGCCCGCGGGGATGGGTGTCCCAGGTCAGTTTCTTGCATTGCCCGCAGCCGCTGCGCTTCACGGCATGAGCGCGGACAAGTTCATTACATGTACCTAAAGTACCTTTTGCCTGAGGATCTGCTGGAAGCAGTGCCGCGAACTGACAGGATACATGCCACTCTACACCATTTCTCACCCTACTTGTACTGGCTGGAGACGAGCACCGCGCACGTCTTTAGGAGTGGATACCGGCAGCTTTGGGTCAACACATTTGATCACTCGTGAGACTGCCTCGACACAATATATACGACGTTGCTGCTTGAAGGGATCCGTTGCCTACACTCCACGACAAAAAGTTATGGACCTCCAAAAGTGGCTGTAACTTCGTCAATTTTTATCGTTTTAAGGTGCGGTTTGGACTAGTGTTGCAGAACACGCTGATAAAGATCTGCACGTTGCTAACACGCGCGCTTTTGCGCTTCTTCAGGTAGCTCACATACAAATCACTGGTTCTGCCCAGGTGACAAAACTTATGGACAGCTAATCCCCATATAAAATCCTATATTAACCAAACCCCTTACAAATGATACGACTTGGACTTTGTATGGGGCGACAAAGGAACCAGCCTGACGGCGATACTCGCGACGTTAGACAAAGATCTGATGGCATTATATGGCTCAGTACTAAGGTAGAGTGGAGAAATCATGGGTTCCTTTGTCGCCCCATACAAAGTCCAAGTCGTATCATTTGTAAGGGTTTTTGGTTAATATAGGATTATGTATGGGGATTAGCTGTCCATAAGTTTTGTCACCTGGGCAGAACCAGTGATTTGTATGTGAGCTACCTGAAGAAGCGCAAAAGCGCGCGTGTTAGCAACGTGCAGATCTTTATCAGCGTGTTCTGCAACTCTAGTCCAAACCGCACCTTAAAACGATAAAAATTGACGAAGTTACAGCCACTTTTGGTGGTGTCCATATCTTTTTGTCGTGGAGTGTAACGCCTCGATGTTCGCGCTAACTGGGGTGAAAGGATGGATGCAGCCAACCCAGCCGCCGGCTACAGTGCAGATGATACCGGCTGGGTACAGTAGCCTACACAGCTGCTCATCGCCGAAGCAGGCACTCTCGGTGGCTGTAGGTTAGTACAGTCGGATCTGCGGTTAGCGACTATCGCCATCGATAAGTAGCGAGAGCATCATAGACAGCGCACAGTAGAGCAGGGGAGAAGGAGCGGTTCTGCTCTTCCGGCTCGGCAGATAAGAGCAAATACTAATCTTCTCTGCCCCATTGACTAAAAGGTCGAAAGCTCGTTGCGGTTTGTGCTTCACATGATTTCACATCTACAGGATTGTTCATGTACCGTCCCAAAATCGGTATTTCCATCAAGCGAAGCGAGGTGCAAATTATGTTTTTTCACCCGGGGATCCGAGGAACTTCGGATCTGAGGGCCCAGCGGTTTTTACTCCGCCACATCGCACAGAGTAGTTATAGATAGGTAGTCGTTCTTGATCGTCTCGACCGGCCAGTCGCGCTTTCACCTGCTCGGACACAAGCGGCATTCCGGCGGCCAAGACACGAGCGCTGCGGCTCGATCAATCGCCCGCGCTTCGATTCGACACCCACCACACCACTCCCTAGGCAGCCTCACCTCGGCTCATTACATGACCCTCACCGAGGCTCGCCTCATTAATCAAGAACGGCCACCTTTGCCCCCCCCCAACGTGCTTTCGTATCGCCGCAGGAAGGAAATCGAATCTGATTGGTTGTCTCACTTCAACTTGATGCGACTCGTATCTTTTTTCGGTGATCGATACTCATTTGGCAATGAGCTACTGTAGTGGCGGTATGACTCATACCGTATGAGATCTCGATCTCCTCGCTCCACTAGAGTGATAGCGTACTAGTACACATGTACAGTTGCACCATTCAGCTATTGTGGAACTTACTCTTGATCTCTTCATGCAGTCCAGCGATGGTGTTGCCGATCAATCGAGCATGTAACGAGGCGCCGACATCAACGAGCACGTCGATGTAGAGTCGCTCGTGCAGTTGATCGCTATAATAGGCTGCAAGCAAGCCCAGTTAAGTCGCAGTCAGGTAGGTTCCGCGATATGATCTCGGCGATCACTTCGAGACACGCAGTCGATGCGTGGGTCGCTCGCCTCCGATAAGATGCTCGTGAGTCCAGGCGCATGGCCAGTGTCGCGAGTCGCTTTGTCGGACCGGTTTGGGGCCGGCCGCCGCTGTATTGGAGTAGTAAGTGCTGCCTGTGCTTATAGGTTTATGGGGCACAAATAGCAAGGAGATCACTAAGCAAAATGCAATAAGTGTTCCTTACGACCTGTGTGGTCCTTTTAAGCAAAATTCACGACTGACCTTCCTTCTACTCCTAACTCTTCCTCTCTACCTCTCCAGATCCTTGCGTTTCAGTGCCTTCGGGTGACTCCGTTCCCGCTCACCCCTCCCAAAGACTTGATCCGTTTACCTTGACGGCCCTCAAAGCCGCCCAACATGCCATCCGTCCCCGAAGTCCCGCCACGACACTGCGAGGCACATCATCCCTCCAAGATACCTCTGGGTAGCGGCCCACGGGTCTCCACCTTCGAGACAACCCGACCCACGGCCCACTACTTCTCGCCCGTGACCACAGCAGATGGACGAACTCAGGCACTCATCGTCGCCCACGCAGAGTTGGAACGGTCCGAGCCGTTCCGACTCGGGACATCCTCCCCGACTGCATCTCGGCGTCCTCGCCGAGCGCACGCAGCTTGATCCACTTCTCTCCTTACTTGCCAGGCCCTCCGTTCGGCCTGCAATCCACTTCGCGTCCGCACCTGCACTCTCGGCGCATTTCCCCCGCCGTCCATCCTCCAAAATGCCTCACTTAGACGCTCAGCCTGCTCCTGCTCCTCGAGAGCCGCGCACCACGCAGCGTAGCCCTCCGTGGCCATAGTCAGCGGCGAACACTCGCCCGCCGACGCCTCGTACAACCTCCACAACTTACTGGTTATGCATACCAGCGCAACCCAAACATTCACCACCAGCAACCAGTAGTTAGTCACTATTGCATGCTCGCCCTCCTCGGAAGCGAACCAGCAATCAAAGACCACGACTACAGCGAACACGCCGGCCACGCCCTGGCAGATCCACTCGAAGACTTCGTAGGTGAACAGCACGGCGTAGAACGCCGAGAACGGGATCAGGGACGTCAGCGTCCATACCACCTTGGCGACCGAACGGCCAGACTCCAGACTCGCGCCCGTGCAGTACTTGGAACACGCCTTCCGTCCCGACGCGCAAGTCTCAGGTAAGAAGACGCACCACCACTCGTGGAGGGCGTCAAGCCACTTGTAGAGCAACCTCCCCAGCCTGTCTTCATGCTCGCCCTTGGACTCCAGCACAACCAACGGGGTGGTCAGCAGGGCCTCGTAACACTTCCACACGCGAGTTCGGAGCGGCTGCATTTGCACGGCAGGCCCACGGACATACCTGCAGTAGCGCATGACGTATAACTTGGCCAGCACGCTCCACTTCAGGGCGAAGTCGACGAACACAGCGGCGATCCGTGAGCCGATGCTTCGCAGGGGGCCCGTAACCGTCCACGACACTGCTCCAGCAGTGAGCCACGCCAGCTCCCAGCGACGCTCCACTGCAACTTGACAAGCTGCCTCAGCAGCGACCACCACTATTGCCGCCAGGCCGTTCACCACCTCCGTCGCCCACTCCATCGTTCCAGCAGCACTAATTCATAATGACGGCCACTTTGACGCCGTCCGAGCCGTCCGCGCGCGCCACTAGCGGCAGCCCTTGGCGGTCACCATCAACCTGCAGAGGCGCAGGGCAGCCAAGGCCCCGTTACTGCCAGCGTCGCTCGCGGGTTCTTCGAAAGTGACCAGCCAGTTGGGCGCCTCTCTCAGACGGTCGCAGTCATCCACAAGGTGAGTCACATTTCGTCAATTCACTTGAAGTCACGTGGTAAGCAGAAGTTGCCGTAGCCGCCCCACTGAAAGTTGCCTCAATCCGCAATTTTCGCCGGGCCGCGCACTCCGCAGTCACCAAGCATCTCTCCGCTCTCTCCCTCGCCTCGCGTCCGTCATGGTTAAGAAGACCAACTCCGACGTCACCGACTTCGACAACCAGGTGGGCAGCCTGGACATGGCCCTCGAGCTCGACGACGAGGGGGACGTCTTCATCGCGCAGCGCGAGTTTTGGGCGCGCCTCCGGACCCGTCTCTCCGTCAACAATGCGTCCCAGGGGCTAGACGTCCTGGACGCCATGGCCATGGACGTCCTGTAGGGTGGCGACGCACGCCGCCTGAACAAGATCCTCGTGATCCTGCCGCACCCCGACCAGATGCAGGCCGGCGAGCCTGCCGAGCACTCCGTCCTGTCGATCCCGCTGCCGCCGTTGGTGCCCACGCCAGAGTCGACGTCACCGCCGCCGCGTCCATCGACAGGAACCAGATCGTCGCCACGGACGTCTTCCAAGACGAGACCGCCATCGAAGAAGAAACAGAAGGCCGCGGCCAAGAAGAAGGCCGAGGCCTACGACTTCCGGTTGCCGACGACGGCGCCCGCGCGACTGAAGATCGACCTGGCCGCACTTGCGCAGCGCCCCTTCAGCAAGGGCCTCGCTCCGTTCCGCTTGGCGTACCCCTGGCGCAAACAGCGGTGCTGGTAGCCGCCATCCGAGTATCCCAAGTTGCACCTCGTCCACTACCGTGCCAACATGCGCTTCCGCGAGCTGTTTTTCCTGTGGGCGCTGTACGCGCCTTGTCTGAATGCCGACCAGCGGCGCAAGGAGAAAATGAATGCGTGCCGAGCGCGGAACGAGCTCATTAGCTACAACATCGAGGAGCGATGGTACTTCGGCTTTCTCGACGACTTCGAGAACGGTGCTCATGACACGCTCATGTGGTTGGGAGGCAGAGCGGCCAAGCACTCTGCCGGCGCGGCTAAGAGCAAGGGCGCGGCGCACGAGGACCTCGGCGTTGTCTTCGGAAAGGACAAGATTCTCTACGAGCGGGCCATCGAGCGAGCTCTCGACCCCAAGATCGTCGACGAACACGGCTACGCCTCGATTCCGGAGCTCCTCGAGGAGGCGGAGCTCATCGACCCCACGCGAGCGCTACACCTGCGACTCTCCGACAAGGCCCTCGCTCGCATCAAGCTCGACGTCACCAGCGGGCCACCCCCCGTGCCTTCTTGGGTGGTCAACCGAACCCGCGGCCCGTGGAAGGCCCTCTTGTCGGACGCGTCGCTCAAAGACACCATCGAGGAGGTGGTCGAGCTCCTGGACTTGGGCATGAAGGTGGCCGTGTACGACCAGAAGCCCTTCAACCCCGACGAGCAGGGCGACGATGACTCGGACTTCGAGGACGAGGACGGAGCCTTCACGGCGTTGCCTCCGACGCCCCCCGTGCAGTACCGGGCTCCCGCCGTCAAACAGCGAGCTACCACTCCGTCCAAGCCAGGAGTTCCGGTTTCTCGCTCCAGCAAGTCAGGCGAGTCCGAAGACTCCAGCGACGACAAGAAGAAGCCGGCGGCCTAGGACGACAGCGACAAGGACGACAAGGTCCAACCCAAGACCACCAAGGCCCCCGTCGCGGCCAAAGAGACGCTGCCGGGCGACGAAGCAGACGACGACGGCGAGGTAGCGAGCGAGCCTCCGACGAAGAAGCTCAAGTCGCGTCCCGCAAGCGTCGACAAGGCCAAGTGAGTCATGCGCACACCTCGGATCTCCGTTTATCTTCTTCATTTCGTTGTAGTCGAGTCTAGTGCAGCCGCAGCACTAATTTTGCAGGTAAAACCAAATAAAAACATGAACTTGACATGCATATCCACCATTCGTGAGCTGCTCGTAAATCCATATCCACAATCACAGGTTCTTCAGCTCAAGAACATCACCAACTACGCCAGCAGCAAATAGTCATCATCGACTTGGGCGTTAGCGTCCGCCAAACGCGCACTTCGACGAAGCTCCGGCAACCCCTTCTTCCTCCTATCCGCTTGCTCAAAAGCGGTCACCAACGACGCATACTCGGGCATCAAAGTCTCCCTGGGCAGCCAGAACACCTCATACGAGCTGGTCATCGTCAGGTACTTCACGCCCTGACCGTCCTTCATCTTCGCCACTATTTCCACGATGGGGGCTTCCACGCCCACAATAACAGTGTCCTCATTTCCTAGTGTCAACCGTTCCGCGTAGCTCGACACAGGGAGGTCGGCCTCTTCCAACGGCCCCTCTTCTTCGTTTTCATCACTAGTGCCCAGACCCTCGGGCACTTCATCCATATAAGGCCGGGTCCATTTGCCACGATACCTTTTGAGCCTATTCACGTTCACGGTCACCATTTTGTTAGGGTGAGTCGGGATGTCGACCCGATAAGCGTTCTCGCCGACCTTGGCTACGATCCGATAGGGACCGTGCCAAGCGAAGGCAAGCTTCTTCGTGCGCACTTCGCCGCGTTTCGCCCTGAACACCTGGTAGACCCACACCGGGTCTCCTATTTCATAATTCAATTCGACTTGCCCTTCCAGGCGCTGCTCGTGCCGATCTTGCGCCTTCAACAACTGACGCTCAACCAAATGTCGTGAGGAACGGAGAGAGCTGTACAGCTCTCGCCTATACTGAGCCACTTCATTACTCCGTCACTGCTTTCCAAGATTGAGGAAGGCCACGTCCATCGGAAGCACTGGGTCGCGCCCGTACAGCGCGAAAAACGGCGAATCTCCCAGGGCCTCGTGGTAGGCCGTCCTGTAGGCAAAAAACACTCTAGGAAGATAAATATCCCAATCATCTTGAGCCTCACTAGCATTCCTATGAGCGTTCCGTTGAATCTCTCGACGAGTCCTTGAGTCTGAGGGTGGTAGGCAGCACCAAAGAGATTCTTAATGCCCAACGTCTGATAGAAGGACTTGGCCACCTCAGACGTGCAGTTCGAGCCGTTGTCGCTCAGCAACCGCGACGGCACTCCGTGCTGAGACACCACTCCGTTCACCGTCACCTCCACGAACGTCATGGAGTCCAAGCGCTCCACGGCGAACGCCTCGGCCCAGCGAGTGAAGTAATCAACGAAAACTAAAATATAGCGATTGCCACGCTCGGTTTCGGGCAGAGGCCCCACGGCGTCCACCACGAGCAACGAGAACGGCCCCGTCAGATCCACGATGGGCATTCTCTGCATTCGACCAGCGCGCCACGGACGCGCACCCTTGCCACTTCCGCACTTATCACATTCGCGCAAATACTCCTCGACGTCCTGTCGCCACACTGGCCAGTACGCGTGTCGCCTCACCTTCTCGAGCGTCTTCGTGAGGCCGAGATGCGACGACAGTAGATCAGCGTGACAAAAATGTAAGACTGTTTCAACGAACGGAAGCGGTATCACGGGCACGGTAAGCGATCGAGCGGGCCCCACGCGCGCGGGGAGATTCACTCTGCGTATCAACACCTCGTTCTCGACGGCGAACTTGGACGCGATCCTCACAACCTTCACTCGTAAGCTAGGGTCCAGCGGCAGCGCTCCACCCGTCAGGAACGCGATCAGGGCCATCACCCACGGGATCTTCCGCTGCTCCACCATCAACTGCTCCATATCGAGTCCGAACAAGTCCACGGACGACGGAGGGACGTCCGTCGGCGCGGACTCGTCCTCAGTAGCGGCTTCCGGCAACGGAACCGCGGTCTCCGTGCCCATCTCGCCGCCGCCGTCTCTAGTCATCGGTTCGGGCGCCACGTTGGACGGCTCCCCGACTGAGTCGGAAGCCACGGCTCGATCGGACGGCTCCCCGACTGAGTCGTTGGCCACGGTCTCGGGCGAATCGTCCGGATTCAGCAAGTCGGCCATGCCCACAGGCGAGCCCCCCGGGTTCAGCAGGTCCGCCATGGTCAGCGCGTTCACACTCGCGGTAGGGAGGCGCGACAAGCCGTCCACGTGCCCCATGCTCGTCCCGGGCTTGTGATGCACTCGGAATTGTAGATTGGACAGCTCGATCGCCCAGCGAGCGAGCTTAGCATTGGTCGTGCGGTTGCCAGGACTGAAGATCCAGGTAAGCGCCTGATGGTCAGTGCAGAGATCAAACTCTCGCTTATCTAGGTAGCAGCGGAACTTCCGCGTAGACCAGACAATTCCCCAGCATTCAATTTCAGAGATTCCGGCTTGGTTGCTGATCCAGTTCTTCTGAGAGCCTGTCAGTAACTTGCTAGCATAGGCGACAGCACGGTCTCGACCGTCCACCACCTGCATTAGACAAGCACCGACAGCATACCTCGACGAGTCGACGTAAAGATTGAATCGTTTCTTCATGTCCGGGTAGGATAGGATAGGAGGAGTGACTAGCGCCCTATTCAGCTGGCGGAACGCCACCTCACAGTCCTCATTCCAGACGAACGGAGTGTCTTTCATTTTCAGGCGTTCCAGCGGCGTAGAGATCAGAGCGTACCCCGGGATATACCGGCGGAAGTAGCTCATCAGCCCCAAAATGAACGGATATCATGCACAGCGCGCGGCCTCTGCACGTTCATGACGGCATTCACCTTCTCGGGGTTCGGGAGGATGCCCATGGGTGTCACAATGTGCCCGAGAAAGGCGACCTGACTCCTGCCCCAGTGACATTTCTTCATCTTCAGTTTGAAGCCGGCCTGTTGAAAGCGGGTCAGCACTTGCCGAAGGCGAACGAGGTGCGACGGGAAGTCCTCGCTGAAGATGACGCAGTCGTCCAAGTACACCAAGCACACGTGCCACTTGAGGTCGACAAGCACGGTCTCCATCAACCGTTCGCTAGCAGGTACAGCATTGCATAGGCCAAAGGGCATGACTAACCATTCGAATAGACCGTATTTGCATGTGAAAGCCGTTTTAGCAATACTGTCTTCATGCATGGGCACGTTCCAGTAGCCTGAGGCGATGTCCATGGTCGAGAACAGTTTGGCTCCACTCAGCACGTCCAGGATGTCGTCAATCAGCGGCATAGGATAGCAATCTTTGACCGTTACGGCGTTCAACTTGCGATAATCGTCGAGGCCACCACCGTGCCCTTCTTGATCCAGAACTCTTTTGTCGATGCGTTGCAAACCTCCACGACGACTCGACCGTCGTCCACAGTACAGAGCGTTATCGCCACGCAAAGCGAAGGCGGCAAGTTGAGAGAGCCCTCGACGAGGACGGTCGCGTTCGGGGCATCGCCCACCACATCCGTGACCACCAGGGCCTGGACCCTTGGCGGCAAGCGGACGGACACGGCCATCGTGGCCATGAACGATTCGTGGACCACCATCACGCCCAACGATAAGACTTCGCCCGTGCTCTTCAGCATGAGCGTCCGCTCGGCCACGTCAATCACTGCTCCGAACGCGCCCAGCGCGTCGACGCCCAAGATAGTGTCCACATGCAACTTGTCGGCCACGAGCATCCGCATGGTCATCCCGACCTTGCCCAGCATTAGGGGGAGAGTGATCCACCCCCGAATGCGCAGACGGTGTCCAGACGAACTGCGTACCCGCCCGTCGTAGGCCTCCAGAGCTTCACCAGCTCGGCCCAGACGCTTCAGAACACGGAAGTCGACGAGACTGAGCGTTGCGCCCGTGTCCGCCAACATCTGCGAAGGCAGGCAGTCGATGTACCCGCACGACAGCGCCTCGAAGTTCCCCACAGTGCACACCACACGCCGACCACCGGCAACTACGCGTGGGAGCTCGGCTCCACACTCATCATCATCCTTATCGGCACGGACGCCGAAGCCGTCCGGCAAGTTCACGGTTACCACCTCCACCATCCCGGTCTTCCGTCCACGCTCCGGCGGTGGACGCTCGGGACGGACCACTTGCACGTAGTGCGTCGCGTCGTCGTCTTCTTCAGGACGGAGCTCCCCGTCCAGCGCCTCGGCCGAATCGCGGTACAACGCCGTGAAGTCAAAGCATACGGGCCGCCGCGAGCGACGCCGCAGCCGACGCTTCGCACTCGCCGAGTGGGCTTCTCGAACTCGATCTAGTAGCTTATTCCAAATATACGTAGCGTTCTCATTGTAGTACTCGTTCGTCCATTTCTTCACAGGTTCTCGCCAGTAGATTTGGTCTTCATTTTCACCAGCAACTTGCTCAACATCGTGCACGAGGCGCACCCAGTCTAGATCAGGTGGCTTATCACGAATCGGGGGGATCTCGACCGTGACGCCTTCTCCGAGCGGGTCGACGACCGACTTCTTCGCACGCAACATCTCGTCCTTGGTCTCCTTCAGCAAGAAGTGCACGGCCTTGCGAGCCTCCGACCTCTCGCTCGGAGAAGCGCTCGAACTCGGTTCAGGAGCGGCCACGGGCGGGTTCACGCTTACCGCAGTGACCATCTCCTCGCTGTTCTCCTCACAGACATCCACGGGGACCGCAATGTTCGCAGTCACGCTGTCCTCCATCACGGAGCCATCGACCGAGACGGTCGAGGCCTTCTGGCCCAGGTCGGACTCCGACAGGCCGAACGACTCATACGTTGTCTCCTCGGTCGAGCGTTCTAGAGAGACGCAGCTGACCAGTGACTGTTTGAAGTCACGGTTGGCTCGCTTGGCCTCCGCCGAGTTCTCCAGTGTGTTCCTGTACCAGTCCTCCCAGTACTCGGGCGAGGACGTGCCCTCGGGCGAGGCGTCCTTCATCTTGGTCAGCGCCTCAACCGGGACGCCCAGAAACTTCGACATCTCTTCCATGGACGGGCCCTTGGCCCTCTCCGC